AAAACGGCTAGAAATGAAGAATTGGATTCCTTCAAACAATCTGATTGACCCAAAAAGCATTGTTGAGCTTCAGGACGAATGGATGTACAATCTTCCAGAGTTTCTAGAGGATAAAACTTCCTGGGAGAAGAAATTGAAGAATGCGGAAAAATCCAGCTTTGAAGTTGATCTTCAGGTACAAAATAGAGTAATACAGCCTGATTCTACGTGTAAAGGTATCATCCTCGATATTGCAAAGAAAAGCACGTCAGGCAAAAGATCTAGTGAAGCCCAAATCCTCGAAGGTGTTAATCTTCTAACCAATATAGAGATTTTCAAGAAGCTCGAAAAACCAAGAACAGCTAGGAACGCCAAGAAACGACTCGTTTGGTTACCAAACTCCAACTCCATTACCAGAGACATCTGCGTTACTACTTCTCCATTGTCTGAATGGCCTCGCTTATTGGGATTTTGGAAGAGACACGATAACAGAGCAAAATACTTTTCCGATGAAACAGTAGCCATATTAAATGTATGGAGGACGGAATTTCATTTGTCCTCTTACCAGCTGTTCGAGGAAGCCGGAGATACTTTGTCCACCGACTTGAGATTCATAGGAGGCAATAAAAGAATCAAGCGCGCAGCTATGGGTTTCATATTTAGCGGCGACTATTTTGATCGCTTTTGGACATGTCATGTCCTTCAATACGAACCCAAAGATGATGTAAGCCGGCAAGTCACGTACGGGCAACAGTCACGGGGGAAGAACGACCCGAAAAATGAGATAAACTCACGTTTTGAAGGACTCATTAAGCCCGAGGAGCTATACCCTGGCCAGAAAAGGCCTTGGTTTCAACGCAAAATACTTGAGCTTTTTCTGTTTGACCAAATGCTCGCCAACATAACTGGTCGTTACGAAGAAATGCTCGATGAGGTTGATCACAGACTTAGGGAAATTAAAGACGAGGCCGAAAGGCGTCTCGACTTGCGGCTGGAGTTGCCCAGCTTCACTGGGAAAAAGTCTGTTTCTAATGCAGAGCCTCGGTCTAATATGCTCTCCGCGTCGAATGCATTGTTTTCTTTACCTATGGAATACGATTATTACGCTACATTCAGCAAGGAGTGGCCGCCATTCCAATACACCTTACAAATTATGGAAGAAGATTTGAAAGACACACTGGATATAGTTGAGAGATGGAAGAGTCGCGAGAAAGACAGGCAGTTGCAGAGACCCCGATGGACACGAGATGATGAGAGAAAATACCGGTCCATAATTGACAAAGCCACAAACTCAAATGACATTAAGATCAAAGAGCTGGAACGCTTTCTAGCCAGCATACAATCAATGAGAGTATCACTCACGAGCAGGCTAGAATCATCACGTAACGAGCTTAGCTTTAGAAGTGCGGAGAATGTCCGTTTCTTTACTTACGTAACTGTCGTTTTCCTTCCTCTAGGATTTGCTACAGGTGTCTTTAGTATGAGCGGAGCACCTGACCCCACAATTCTGAAAGGGATGGTTGCCACATCTATCATCACTCTTTTACTTACAAGCGTCGCTTTAGCAAATGCTCAATTCATAGACGAGAAATTGTTCACCCCTATTGCTAAACTTTCCCGATCTTTGTGGAAAAGAGTGTTAAGAGATTGGTGGAGAGACCATATCATACGTCAACATACAAAAGGCGAGCAGGCAGAATCTTCAAACCAAAACCAAAGCAAGCACGGCTCTTCTTCTGGGAGCCCCATCTCACAAGGAGACCAAAGTCCCGAACCTCAGACACAGCTTGATTCCCAATTTAATGTCCCAATTAAGAGCTGGGTGAGCGGCTTGTTGCGTTTTCGAAAAATCTTGGACAAGAATAGGAGAGGTATGAGAGGAGAGACGACAGAAGAAGAATGCTGAGCAACCGATCTCTCTGATCCGCATCTGGAGTGTAAATTGAGATGAAGAAAGATTTGCTGTGCTGGACACTCAAGGGTAAGAGTCGTGTGGCTGTCACATATCATAATAACACATGCCTAAGGGACCTTAGGCTCAAGGGATCATTTGATCATTTGATCACCACTAGAGCCCTTACGAGGATCTTATGGTTTTGTTTAGATTGGCAGATTTTTTATTTATTTCGCTATTGTTGGAAACAGGTGTTGAGCTTATGGTAAGAAGACGAACTTCTATACAAGTAGGATAGTTTCCATAGTTATAAAGCTTCGTCCTCGACTTTGTCATCAATGAGTTCATCAACATTCCATTTGATATAGCAACGACTTCACCTCCAAGTGATCAGCCAGTCATGCACACAACAAACTTTGTGTAAAAGACTGTCAGAAAACGATTTAATTCTACCTTAGAATCTACAGCCAAGGAAGGAAGAAAGAGAACTCTAGCCTATATACACAGAAAAGGGGTCACGTGCGCGTCTGTAAGCTTTAAGACTAAGAACCACACCTCTACTCTGCCAAAGACATTAAGAATCTTAGGAACTAATGCAACCTCTACCTTGATTGTTCCCAAACCGAAGACGATCCAGTGTACCGGCTGCTTTCAATGCTACAATACTCGAGCTTGCTCTCGATCCCATAGATGCCGAAGTTGTGGTACAATCAAGCATACCGAAAAGGACCGTTCGACTAAATGAAATACAGCACATATATGCTCAGCAAAGTGCTTACATTGCGGGGGCATTCACCCTGCGGACTATCTACATTGCCCTCTCCGTGTAACCCACAAAGGCCCTGAAACCAAGTTAGAACAACAAGCCATTCTAAAAACCTTACAGCGAGTTGGAATCAAAGCTCGTACTGGTGCAAAATGCTCTAAAACGCCGAGAATTGTAACTGATTCACAAATAGAGGAAGCTTCAATCCGTTGATCAACATTAACAACGAACCATACAACTCTAATTCGAACTATAACAGAAATCCTGGTTTTCTGGGCACGTGAAATTTGGGTTCCTGAACGAACAGAACACATAGTTTAATTACTCGAGATTAATACATGAAAACGGTTATGCCACGATCGCCTGTTCTGCGCCAAAATATATTTGGCGTTCAACTAGAAAGAGGGCTTATTGAGGACGATTCGATCAATACTCCACTTCTACTGTTGTATTCTATTAAAGCCAGGAAGCCCTTATTTCTGTACATATATGCTAGCTATCCCTCATCTACAAGAGCTCTTCACTTTTAGATTCTAAGCAAATATAATTCTTGGTTTACATATACCCTTTTTGGTTATACCATCTCAAGATCAATATTACTCTCGATTCGATTAAGACATTAGTTGTTAATGAACATTCAAACTACTCTTTTAAATCCATTCTAAAAGAAATTGCATACCTCCCTAGAGGTGAAACAAACAAAATCTCTTAAAAGCCCCAATTCCACAAAACGAACTCTCACAACATAAGGCTTTCTTAAACCCCCCAAACAAGGAAATATAGAAACAGTTTGCAACAATAATACGATAGCCTCTCCGAAGGAAATACCAGCAGATGTTTTTCTTGCTTCTGTAGTAAACACACAAAGCCGAAGAGGAAAGGAGAAACCTTTTGTTTCTGCAGACTCATTCGCCCACTCAAAAACACCGCCACAATTCCCTCCTGGTCAGAATCTCCCCTTGTAAGATCTAAGGATCAAAAATCATTTTCCTCATCCGATACAAACCCTGATAATGCCGAAATATCAGAACGACATGTTGAATCCCAGAACCCCTTACCAAAGCTTCAGCATTTACCACTCAATGTGAGAGACCAGACCTCGAATAGCTCAAAGGTATGGCTCAGATAAATCTATTTAGGAGTGCATAAAAACTGTGTACATACATAAACCCCCTCCATACACATAAATGAAAAGGACAATACAAAAGATCTGTATTTGGAGCACGTCCGTGTTTAGGGAAGTCCACGGTCGGCGAGCGCTACGCCTAGCGCGGGTCAAGCCCGAGCACATATATGGGTTCTAATCCTTACACTTAACTTAGATTTGATGTGTAGGTAGTCTTCGTCGGATTTGAACACGAGATTGTAACCAGTTTTTCGTTTCTTTGTTATACTTGCTCTGCAATGCGTATTGCAATGGCCGATGCTTGCCATCGTTATGCCCACCGTTGTCGAATCTTCTTCAATGTGTCATTTTCATTGTACTGTCTCATTATGTTGTTGTTATATGTCGTACGCGGTATCGCCTTGGATTATCGAGGGTGTTACTGTGCTTCTTGTTCACAATAAAGAGACCATGCCTGTGGAATGCATGTAATATTAACTATGTAGATTGAATTGTTTAAAGCTTAAATCTAACTAGGAGGTGAAAGTGATATACATACACAATGCGCCAGCGCACGCACCGTATCTTTCCAAGACTTATCATTGTTACCATGTTGTTACTATTTGGGCTGCTATCAAAGTAAACGTCACGCTCTTATGGGGAAATAGTTAAATAACAAAAGCAAATAAATCTACTTATGTAATGATTGCTATTATCATCATATAAGCTGTTAAGTATGTATTGGTATAAGGTTGCATTATCCGGCAAGGAAGTTGAAGAAGTGATGTTGTTAACACAGCTATAGGGTTCAATGTGATTACTCATTACACTAATCTTAGTTCGAAACTAGCTTGGACTAAGCGACTATTATATGTATAAAAAATACAGATATCCCTTCAGAATCTCTCCCCTCTTTAGCTTTCTAATTCTAGTTTATTCAACCTCTATTAATCCGATCTAGTATGTGATCATAACAGCTATTAGTTTACAAGACTAGCCATTCAGGAACGGAAAAGATTCGTGATTTCCACTCGTGACGCTATGAAAGATGTTCAAATGACGTCACGGGATGATGCTCAAGACTTTGCGTGTGGAATTCAAGGCGATAAATTGACTGAGTAGATATTTTTAAATCAATGTAAATCATCTTTCATACTCTCATCTTATCCCACCAAAAATTCCCGTAACCATATCTTCATTCCAAGTTCCGCAAACCCTTCCAAATCCACTTCCACATCCACGAATCCTCCTTTTACTCATCTATTCCCCCTCCTCCCCACCCCCACAACCGCCACCCCACTCAACGCCCCCTCCCCCTCAGAAAACCTCTCCCCCATCCACCCCAACATCCCCTCTCTTGCCCTTTCCCTCCCACCTTCCCCCCACCTCTCCTCCCCAATCATCATCTTCATCCCCGGAAACCCGAGTATCATATCCACCACCGCCTCATGACTCTCAAAACTCCACTTCGCCTCGCTCTCCACAACCTGCACATCCACAAATCCCACTTCCTCAAGTTCCCTCCTCACACCCTCCGTACTCGTCCACTGTTTCGGCATCTCCATTTTCTTTTTCGGTTCTCCACTCCCATCCCCATCCCCATCTGCAGCTGCAGCCGCAGCCGCAGTCCCCACCACCATAAGCACCATCCACTCACTCTCCTTCCACGAGGTACACGCCCCCACCCCCCCTCTCATCAGACTCCTCTTCATTTCCCCCAACCCCCTCCTCGGCTCCGGCAATATAAACAACACCAAGCTCGCAAACGCATGGCTTGCCTCCCCATCCCCCACAATCCTCGTCAAATCCTGCGCATCGCACACCTCCGTCTTTACACACCCCCAAATCTTATTCCCCTTCTCGACCTCCCCTTCTTTCCTCGCCTGCAACTGCGCCACCATGGGCGCGCTGAAATCCGAAGCTAGGATCCTGATTCCCTGATTCTCCTCCTCCGAGGAGGTTTGTGCGAGAAAAGAAGATTTAAATTCCTCAATTAAATACTCCGTCACCTGTCCAGGTCCACACCCCACATCGAGAATCACTTTTCCTCCACTCGCAGCACTATCGATGGGTAATAAATCATTTGCTATTTGCACCATGTGGTGGAGGGGGAGAGTGCTAGGCTGTAGACCCTTTGAAGCGGACATTTTGGTGATGGAGGATACGCATGTGGCGGTGCTCCATTTGGATTGGGAACCTGGGGAAGGGGATGTTAGTGGGGGGGGTTTAGATATGTGATTTCGGAGTTTGTGTGAGAGAAGAGAGGAAAGGAGAAATGAGAGGGAGAAAAATGGTTTGTGTAATTGGATCGTACCGAGTTCTTTCATGAGACTGGCCATTTTGTGCAATTTTGCTTTTGCTTTCCTGACGTGGTGCGGTATGGTGTTGTGTGTTGTGTGTTGTGTGATATCGTGTTATGTCTGCGCGTATTACACTGCTTTATACTATCCTATTTCATCACCGTATCCCAAATCCTCAAAATAATCCCAAAAACAGTTCAAAAGAGAAAACAAAAAGAAGATTCAAGACAAATATATATTCGTATCCATGTTTCCCCGCCTTACCCTCCTAGTCGTCCTCCCCCAATCATCCTCCTTCCCCAAGAAAGCAAACATATCAACTCCCCCCTTCCATCAACCTCTCCCGGCGACTTTCCCTGGCCACTTCCCAACCACACCACACAAACCAACTAACCACATCCTGCTCACTCCCCCCAGCCGGCAACAAACCGGCCACTTTTCGGAGACATATTCACGATCACCAATCGCCAATCAACCAACCGGAACCAAAGCCCTGCATCCAAACGGCACAGCAAAAGAAAATTCTCCTCCCCTCCCTATCCACTAAAAAATGCCCCCACCTCCCAAAAAATTACGGAAATAAGAAGTCACAGAAAACCGAGCATTAACCCTCTAAAGACAGCTTGTTTTCGCCAAGTAAAAAATGGCGGGGTTCGGGTGATAGGCTCGTCGCGCTTCCCCTTTCATTCGGCTGTAAGGGTATCTCCGATTTGTAGTACTCGGAAACATCTAAGTAGTGTTGATGAAAATAACAACTTGAATCAAAGATCTACAACCTCCCATGCAAGAGATGAAACGATTCATATATCGAAACATTCATTCTGCGTACTCAAACCATGAACTCCAAACGACCATTTTATTAATAGAAAGTACTATGAGATGGGGAATTCACAATTTATTAAAGCTTCGATTATACTGTGCAAACTACCAAAAAGTCATGTGAACTATCCACCACATTAAGCAACCCTATTAACCTCGTTTGTCTCCATCGGACCAGTTGTAACTGAAGTTCCGGTAACACTAGGAGCATAGCTTCCTGGGACTTGTTGTCCACTACTGATCCTACTGTCACCGATTTCCGATTGAACTCCTTCATTATGATAACCATCCTCAGTACCAACGACAGAACTTTCTACATTTTGGACTTGTTGATGTTCAACACCTTCCTGACGCATCGCACCAGAATCTAAGTTACCATGTGATTGAAGTTCTTCCTCATCTAATTGCCAATCTCGAAGATCATCCTCGGCATCATTGAGAATTTGTCTAGCTTGTTCAGTGTGTTCGAAAGCTGGACGAATATTTCCTGGTACGATTGGTGTATCATCAAGAAGATTGAGGAGCCGACGTCCATGACGAGCGAGGATAATTTGCTTCTCTGCTCTTTCAATAGTGGCTGCAAATTCAGCATCATATGCTTCCTTGATTTTCTTTCTTGTCTGGAGTTATCTTGTCAGTATACTTGGCTATTCTTTATCAATGATGGCTTCACAAGGGCAGAACTTACAATATTTGTTAATTGAGCCTCAGCAACCAATTGTTCTGCTTCTGCTCTGACCAACTCTTGCTCCAATGTAACCAATGTAGCACTCTGAGGTTCCTTGGCTCTTAGTTTGGCAATTTGTTCCACCAATTTATGTTTGTGATCCCGACTTGGTTGAACACTCTTTTCAGTATTTCGAATCGCTTTCAACACTCCTCTTGAATCATCCAAACTATGTGCATAATAATCTTCCTGGTCACCCAGTTCGCTCAATAAAACTCCAATCTTATCCGAGATTTCCGAAATCGCATCGTCCTCGGTGGATTCACCCCATTCGGAAAGTTGAGTAGCAATCGAAATACGTTCTCTGCCTGCCGTTTCATATGCTGTAATGAGATTGTTTTCGGTTTTGATGAGTTTGTAAAGTTTCTTGGAGAGATCTGGTTGGTTGATTCCACGAAGGGAAGAGAGGGAGAAATGTTTGGAGGATGAGGCATCTTTGGATGAAGACTTGCCTCCTGAAGAGCGAACTGATAGTGCTCGATTCCTGACAATAATAATGTTAGTGACTATAATCTTAACTTGGCGATCAGCGTAATTGAAAACGGGTCGAATGCCATAGCGATGGGGGTGTAACAAAGGATGATTGGGTGCGAACAAATGCTTTAGAGGATTATTTTTCTCTCCAGATCCAGAACCTCTGCTGGAATTTGCCCGTCGCAACATTGTTAATAGCTTTCCTTGATGTTGAAGTAAAAATTAAGAGATGTGAAACGGAACAAACTTAACAAATTGTACTTACATATTGATAGTTGAATCGAATCAAGAAAGTACGATGTTTATTAGATCTAAAGATTGATCAGCTCTTTCCTTTTCTTTTTATGGCGCCTTGCAATGCAATGCGTATCTGACCAGCGAATACTTTGAAGATAGGAACATAGATCTAAAAATAAAAGGATCGTTCAAATCGGGATACTTCCCAGAATTTATCTCGATGTGCGATTGCTTCATTTTGGCCATCGCATGAGTGGTATCGCCAACCGTAAAGGCATGTAGGGAAAAGAGATATCCAGAACGAACCTTGCAACTCAATCTATGCCACTTCACCTTACTGTTCGAAAGGTCGTCGAAGATACTATGGATGTATGTAGCGACCAGGTATCAAATAGACAAGATTTGAGGATATACTCCACGATAGTCGACAAGGTCCCAGAATTAATATAAATTAATATTGTTCAGTCGATGATAATGATAATGGACATGGTCATGATTGATAACAAGGATAATTGAAGCAAAGAAAGCTTCTTGATGCAGGTTATTGTGATTACCCCACCATTGATATTGACGTCATACCTGGTCTTGTTATCGTCTGAATTGCTGAGATGATTGAGATGATTGAGATGACTAAGATGACTAAGATGACTAAGAAGAGTCTTGCACTGAATGAAGCATGGTAAAATTCATATTGAAATGTATCCCAGAATTGGATGTGGGAAATCTGATGGATTGAATTTTGGGATTGCATGAAGAGGTATCTCTTATAGTGGACAGTGCGGACAATGTGAAGAATACGAAGAAAGATAGGGGATATACATTTCCCTTACTATGCACGATATTGCTATGATGTTATCCCTTCATACAAGACATTGAGATATTTACTCTTCGTGGTATCCATTCTGATGCAAGTATCACGAAAGGTAGATTCATCTTATATAGTAGTAAGTAAGGTATCATCCAAGACCATGGAAATCATCAATTCGTTACTTATCACCTCGCCATCTCATCATACAACGCATCCACCCAAGCCGAATAAGTAAAACTCCGCAGGGTAACTCTCCATATTTCGTATATCCTATAACATTATCGTACAATCGATCAATCCCAGAAATACAAAACAAAAAAGGCTATGGAAGAATCGAGACCTCATCTCATATAGCTAGCTGGCCAACAGTGCTAGCTCTACACACATATACAATCATATTCATATCGGAGATCATCTATCCTGGTCTTTCGTAATCCCCATCCAAGCCATCCAATTCAATCCAACCCCATACGCCAGCCATCTTGAATCACATACCCATACCCATACCCATACCCATACCCATCATCATCCATCATCATCATCCATCATCATCATCCATCACATCATCATCCATAAAAGATATTCCATCCATCCATCCATCCCATCTCATCTCAACCCATCCCCTCAATACCTCCTTCTATGAGTCGAAGTACTATAACTCGTTCGACTCGTTCTCGGACTAGTCGTAGTAACATAGGTTCGGCTAACCGGTCTCGAAGATCTGACTGAAGTAACCGAGACGCGTTGAGGGTGATGATGATGATGATGACCTCGCGAAACGGGACGAGGGGCATAGACGACTTCGCGAACGACGGGCTCGCGGTAATATTTTGTTCGACTTGGCCAGCACATTTTGAGGGGTTGTTTGTAAGAGAGGAATGTATGTACGTTGATGTGTTTGATTGGTTGTTTGGAGGAGAGTGGATATATGTGTGTATGATGATTGTTGTGGCAGCTGTGTGTATTGATTCTTAAATGTGGTATCGAGTGAGTATTTTTCTTTCTTTGTTTGAGAATTGTTGCAGAGGATGAAGATATATATATATATCAATGAAATTGATAAAGTAGAATAACAAGTAAACTACAAAAGCATCCAGGGAAAAGCATACATTTATAACCTCTCATCCATCCCATCCCATCTCATCTCCAATCAAGAAATTCAATTCATCAGATGTCATACAACATACCTAGTCACTCCATCGCATCAGCCAAGTCCAGGTTGCATAACAATCTTACCACGATTCCCCATGAATATGTACCTAGCTACCGATTGGATACTATGTACTTACTACTATGTACAACCCAGCTTCTTACCAAATTTTGACATTCAGACAAGAGATATCCACCAATACCCCACCACATCGACCCCGGGACTAGAAAATCTAGAAAAATCCCTAGGAACCCCAGCCTCCACCATATTGGCTAAGATGAATGATGCTGGAAAGTTTATGAAAGTTTATCGCGGCATCTATCTTTCTCTTTCTTACTTGGTTGGATTGGAGAAGATTGAATTGGTGGTATAGTTGAACTACCCACCTGCCTACCTAGATATAATAAATATCAATACGATCATCTAGAGAACTCTAGCTAATAGCTATCCTCAAACCAGCAACTATCTTCCAGAAACCTCGTAAACCATCGAAGGATGAATTGAAAACTACGTACCTGAGTATGTAGTCTAACAATTCAAAAATCAGGTCAAACTTTAAACAAAATCCAGATGCATCCATCCATCCATCTAGCCATCATATCTCCATCTCCATCTTTATCCTCGTTTATCGCGATATGACCTACCTAGTACTCACAACACAGCTCAGATCAGATCACATCAGATCATCAACCATCATCCGACAATCAAAAATGGAGAATATACATAAATATAAATACAAGGTTAGATACCATTCCAACCACCGTACAAACATTCAGTCAGTCACCTGAGATAGATACCTACCTGTTGGGGAAGATGATGATTCTTCTTCTCAATTTTCCATTCATTCATTCATGATTCTTGATTTTCCCTCTTCTACATCCGAGAAAGAGGAGTTTTCAGGGCCTTTTTCTCTTTCTCGCTTCGTACTCTACTTTACAAGATCTACCAACCTACCTAGTATGTACCTAAGTGGTCAATTAACTTTAAGGGTCAGACGTCAGGCTGCATTAGTTTCTTTGTACTTCCTAGGGTAAGGGTAGGAATAATTAATTACCTAGTAACGTGTTTCCTCTTCACCGTCTCTACTATTTTTTCCAATCTTTTTTTTTCTCGCGGAGTAAGCGTATTACGCTTCGGTATTTTGTATATATATATATATATTGGGGGTGGGGGGGGGGAGTTAGAAGATCTACTCGGTGGAATATTCATCTCTTGATGATTCATCGTAGATGCATCAGCTTCGAAATCTTGAGACTGTATGTCCTGCATGCTGCATGTAAATTTTTCTAATAATACCGGTGAGGTGATCGATTCTGTTTTGGTAAGAGGAGAGGGAGAGGAAAAGCCTCGTTTGTGAGCTGGACGTGGAAATTTCCAATGATTTTGGAGGTACGAAGATATGATGAAGGGGAAAGGAAATATGGAGTCTGATGAATTGATTTAATGAACGTCATTCTCAGAGTTGTAGTCTTGAAGGTTATCATTGAGTACCTCTATATTTGTATATGTATTACCTAGTAGATAGGGATTCATCTAAACACATTCAGCGAAACCGATCAAAAGATCCCGCCCCGCCCATCTCGTTTTTGGCATCGAGAAGTAGCATGTCACGTGATTATACTTCTTACCAGGTAACATTTATTCTCTTCCGCTTCAATCTCGTCGAAGCGGAATTGATGTATATACTTGATGTTGAACACATAACTCCTGTTATCATTCATTTATCGCATCAAATTTGTCTATCGTCATTTCTCTTCATCGCAAGATGTCGTTCCGTGATAGTTTGAGATAGGGCAATCTCCAGATATCTATGGGACTTGGTAACTGCTGTTGAGATTTGGAGTTGGAAATGGGACTTAGAATGAGCTCTCGGCTGTGTAGTCAAGAGAATCTGGTTTCAAGACTACATGTCAAATAGGAGGTGTAAAAAATCTCGTTTATATAACCTTCTGAATAGGTATCAAGTATGAATCTTTAATGAAAGGTGAAAGCAAAAACAGGGATCATTTTGACAATGCAGGACTCGGTGGACGAGAATCAGAGGAGAAGATCTGGAATGGCAGAAGAAACAGGGTTAAAAGAAAAGTCAAAATGAGCATTCGAAGTAACTCGAAATCTGGCGAGGGGTAGATTTTGAGCTGCTCTGAGCTATCAACAATGCATATGAAAAATGCGCAAGTCACGTGTGAGTCACAATCTGCGCAAGATCTGTTATGAACTCTGTAATCAAATTATATGGTCGAATTATTTTTGCACATTCAAGAGCTAGTTACAGATTCAATACCCCAGTCCAAAATTCTCAAAGCGCAATTCGATATCAGGATTCGGATCAGGATTCGGATAATGTACATCTAGTCCTCATCCAACATTCCCGAATGCGAATGCGGCTTTCGGTGCCTCCACAAAATCCGAACCAATCACTGCAAAGAAACCTGACATACCCATACATGCATGGGATTTAACATCTACATTTTCCCCATCATTCTTTGTCCATTCCTTCAACCTCTGATTGAATTGAAACTATGTTAATGATACAAAATGCCGTCCAGGTTAATTGTCAAGGATGGGAGTATAATCTACTTCTTCAATGGAATCGGGGAGATATATATACCGAATGAATGTACAAATAAGTATTTATACAGAACTTCATCCCATTGATTCTAATCCATCAAGCTATTCTCTTGAACTACTCATCTCTTAATTCTGCATCACTATAATCCCTTTATCCTAAATTCTACTGCCTGCGTTGAATCCCAAACCATGGTCCCCCTCCTCGAAATCCACGCTCAAACCTCCCATCTTCTACGCACCCACCCCTCCCCCCTAATCGCAGTCTTCGTCGGCGGCACCTCTGGAATCGGTACCCATACTGTCCTCGCTCTCGCTTCTGCTCATGCCAAAAATAGTACCCAACCTCTTCTGCTCTTCATCGTTGGAAGAAATAAAGATGCAGCAACGAGGATTATTGCCGAATGCAAGGAGCTTTGTCCTCATGGAGATTTTCGCTTCGTGCAAGCGAGAGATTTGAGTTTGTTGAAGGATGTGGATCGCGTTTGTGAGGAGATAAGGAGGATATTAGATGAGCGAGAAAAAGTAAAGGGAGAGAAAGCGTGGATTGATTTGTTGGTTATGACGCAGGGGGTCCTTACCTTGTCTCGAAATGGTAAGTTTGCATTTCAGCTTTAATCCTTCCTCTCAATCCCCTCGCTCTCTTCCATTCCCCATCCCCTAAAATAATAAACACAAATCTGACAAGAACAACAGCAACAAAAGAAGGCCTCGACGCCACCTACTCCCTCATGTACTACTCCCGCATGCGCTTCATCACTCAACTCCTCCCCCTCCTCGTCTGCTCCCCTCTTCCCAGCCGCGTCATCTCCATTCTCAACCCCAAACTCCATAGTAAGCTCATCCCCGACGATCTCTCCCTGCGCAAACATAGCATTCTCCGCTATGCTTCTTCGCACGTATGTTGGATGACGACATTTTTTATGGAGAAGATTGCAGAGGCGAATCCGGGGAGGATTAGTCTGATGCATGTTTATCCCGGGGTGGTGATGACGGATATGTTGGAGAAGGGGGGGTATCTAGGTGGTTGAAGTGGACGTGGAAGTTCGGGATTGGACCGGTGATGAAGTTTTGGGAAACTGAAGGGGAGGTGTGTGGAGAGAGGATTTTGTGGTTGGCGAGTGAGAGGTGGAGACCGAGGGGCTTGGGTAGCGATGGAGATAGAGAGGGGAAAGGGGATGGGGAAGATAGTTTGTGGGGTATTGAGTTGGTAGAGGCGGTGGATGGCACGCCGGGTGGGGGTATGTATAATGTTGGATCTGTGGGAGAGAGATATCCAACACCGAAGATGTATAAAAAGTACAAGGAAGATGGCGTTGCTGAGGTGGTATGGAAACATACTATGGATGCTTTTAAAGTTATTGAAGAGGGTGGTGTTTTTCAAGGTTGATTGGCATGTACATTTATTCATTAATTCGGCATTTTGGATTTGGATTTCTTAGTTTATATAGGCATTTATTGACTCCTCCAGTGACTTTCGTACGGATTTATGATTCATCATGATATATGCAGGACTTCTTCCACATGCGCTATGAGTTTATTACAGCACGATTTATATATCAAAGCGTCTCCGAAATCAACAACCCTGTATATGAACTCTGAGGTATTAGATGAATCTCATCTTTCAAAACCCTCGATAATGAAGTTGATACTATCTTCATAACGCAATTTGATAGTCGCTCACACCCATTTTTGGTGTATCTGGAGTGATAAATTGAAACCGTTATTCATCACGCACCAGATCACCAATATCTCATCCATCTATCCATGAATTGATCAATCCATCACCGCACTAATCATCTACAAACCGTGTTCTAACACCTCGATTCCTTAATCCATCTTAATCTAAATTCTAGCATAAAACTCGGTTAGCAATGTGTAGTATCCAGGGGTTTCAATAAGGTTAGTTCAAATCGCAGTCTGATAATCAGAGACTTTCCAATGATGAATCTAGTTATATTATCAGACGAGTAATTTGGTTTTGTATTCTAGAGTAGTTCTATAGTTGGAAAGCAAGATTGCGTGCGGAATCGTCTAAATAAAAGCCTCATAAATTGTGTTCTATAACTCTCTTGATGAATCTCTTGGATTGTTTGGACATCAAAAGACCTAAATTCAAGGTCTTGTTGATTGTTGAATCTCATAAGAAGGAGACGAGTTGAATAGATGTTTGTTGAAATTCTAGGGAGAGTCCATAGTCATTCTATTTGGTAAATGAGAGTAATTTACGCTGTTTTGGAGTATATTCATTGGATATAGTATATTCATTCAGCATGTTCAATATTTGTGATCAGATTATCTCTACTTTACATGACCAAATAGCTTAGATTTGATTATGGCGTCACTTTTGTTATGACAAGATGTCTCATTTTGTTTGCGTCTCACGGAAAGTGTTTGGATTTATCAATCAATGAATTCCTAATATTAGAATGCTGTATGTCATGGAGTTTGCAGATAGTATTCCCAATCAATTGACCGCAAAATCGATGTTTTCCGTTTCTTTTGCCAGCAAGATCTTGGGAAGCCATCGTCAAACTACGCATAGTCATATCGGCTAGGTTTTTCGAACACCAAAACTAGCATCAACATATATACAACATCTCGCATGCCTTAACCCAACAATCCTTCCCACCAATCACCAACATCAATCTTCCTCCCATCCACGTTCCTCCTTCCCATCTAGCACGAAAAGACTGCCGGTCCCGGAATCGTATATGTTTGAACCGCATACATATCATAAACAATTCCGGGATCCGTTGCCTTATAGACACCCGGAATAGCCACCTTACTACTAGGACCCGTGCTTGTTCCACTTCCCGTAACCTGTATCTGATGACAACTTGGATAAAATTGCACGCCCGGATATGTCCACGCTGCATGCAACGCAAGGATTTCATGACGCACAATATATGAACCGGCAGAGAGACAGGAGGGGATAGTGTAAGAGTAAGAATTTCCGGCGGTTTTTAGGGGGTGTCGCCCCAGACGGTCGTGTTGCCGATGCGTCCGGTGGCTTGGATTTTAAACCAAACGGCGCTGTGGGGGGCAGTATTAGTGAGAGGTAAGAATGTCGATAGGAAGGGGGTGGAAGAAACTTACTCAGTGCCGGGGAGATAATTACTACATCCTGCAGCGGGACATTTCGCCATGTAAGTTATTACTGGACCGGCTTTACAAATCTCAATTAGCATCTCTACATCTATTCAAGAATCTCATATATCTCTTTTCCCAATGCATTAAGAAGAAAATTATAACAACTCACAATGACTATCCGGCCACAGCGTCCATCTCAAACTAACCGTACTCCCAGCAGCAACCGGCCCCGCAGTCAAATTCGCAGGTTTGGAACCAACAATACCCCCTTCGGTATAACCACCACATTGAAGATCAATAAGCGTAAGATCGGTGATAGGACCATTGCCCTGGACTGGACGAATGATACGTGGGGGTGGTGTAGCATAGTAGGGATCTGAATCGGGCTTTGGAAGAGGAGACTACGTCAATAGGATACATGTCGGGAGTTTAATAGAGGCTTACTTGATAACCCTAGGTTAAATTGTGTTAGATTAAATTTCATGTCTTATTGAGGAGGAAAGCCTTACAGTATAGAGAATCCCATTAATCGTCACATTATCCACATATCCGTGCGCAGCAACCGTCGCCACAAAAACGAGAAGATTTGAGAGAGTTTTCAAATGCATTGTGACTCTTTGAAGCAAGCGAGCAAGTACAGAAAGAGAAACCTAATTCTTATGATCCAGACTTACATGCAAGATTCATATATTGACGGAGGACCTTGAAGTAAAATAAGAGAAAACCGACACATGATGCATCTTCAACGTCTAACGGCCCGGAATTCCAATATCCCCCCAAAGCTTTCTTCAGCTAAGTCTCTATCTGAATATCTTCCAAGACAATGCAAGAAACTTAATGATAAGAAGCACAACTCCAATCTCATATCTTCAATAAAGAAAGAAAAAATATACCGTCGGCCAGTCTACCCGCTTCCCTCTCGGCACCTATCTTTCCACAAACAAGCATCTGCTATACCCCAAACCCAAGAAAACATAGGGGGAAAATCTCCTGCAATTCACTGTATTCCCACCACGTTTCTCCTCTCACTATAGGATTTTTCAGGATTGAAGGAGATAGATTCCGATAATATATTACACTGAGTCAGATGCCGCTTGGCGTGTTTCGCTTAGACGATTGTGTGACTATAATAATTATAGGCTAAATTTCATGATAGTCTTGGTTCTTTGAAGAACTGAAGTTTGAATGAACTGAATCGGATCGATCAGGCGTTTTTCGTCTTGCTTCTTCTCAGGTGACGTGGAACTGTACGCGTTGTGCGTTGTGGAATCTGGGGTGCATGAGTGTGACTCTGAATGTATTACATTGCCAAGCGATCCAGAATTAGGGTTTTGTACGCGTTATAGTAGACTGTTTGCGATATATCGGATGCTTGTCTTGTCTTTCGTGCTTTAATCTCCCCCCCATTGAGTTATGGGATGCCTTCACTCTCATAATCGCTCCATCCTTTCACACTGGGCTTTACTGCTTTTCCATTCAACCATCCATTGAAAGTATTAAATTCTCATGTATTGAATGTTCAAGTAGAGGAATATTAAAATCTCGATTATGTAATTAAAAAGTTTATTCTAAAGAAAATCGTACGAAAATGAGGAGAGAGATCATGAATTATAGTCCAAACCCCCACTAGCGTGTTTCCTCGCAACACAAGAGCAACCGTTTTTGGGTATCTGTTGCGCCGCAGATCAATCAATCAATCTAGACATGTATGAAGTAGAGAATGTCTATGGCTGTAAAAAAGAAACCCATTCGCATTTTCGTTGTTCGTCCCGTCCCGTCCCGCCAAAGCAAAATAGCACTTTTCGTTTCTGGTCCCATAAATTTACCAGTTACACCCTCTTCAATATTCCACCTTCCACAACTTTGATCACAAGAACAAATAATCCACCAACCAACACCACAACACCACTAAAGTCCGCAACTTGATCAAAAGAATGGTAATGTTCGACAAGTGCACCATTGATAGGTGGGCCAATTAAAGCTGCAAATGCTGTAACGAACATACCCATTCCCATATAGGTTCCGATGTTTTGAGGGTTCTCAGGGACCATTGCAAGACATAAAGTCACTAGTGACACGATTGCCCCCGAGCAAAATCCATAGATGGCCGCAAAAACGATGATACCGGCACTAGACGTAATACTTTGCCAGCAAAATACTAGTATTCCAGTGGAAACGCCGACCGCGCACAACATATTCAATCGACCAATTTTATCTGCCAAAATACCAGGAATAACACGACCAAAGAATGAAGCGCCATTCAGTATCGAAATAAGGTATGAAGCCAACTCCGTGCTCATCCCATACTGAACGGCATAAGATGGGAGATAAAAGATAGGAATAAACACGCCGAGCATCATCAAGAAAGCCGAGACCAATAAAGTGATATAAGGAAGCTCCTTGAATGCCGCTGGAAGAAAAAACGATTTTTTTCGAGGGGTAATCGCGCTCGGATAGTTGTGCAAGAGATTCCAAGGACTGCAAGCATAATGAATCCGACAATTCGAACACTCCATCCAAAGCCCAATTTTGGGTTCGCAAACATTTTTGCTAGGGCAATTGGAAAAATTACACCTCCCACTGAAGACCCAGCGACTGTAATGCCCATTGCCGCCCCTCTCTTTTTATTAAAGTATTGACCAACAGCTGTCATTCCAGGTGCCATTGTCATGCCAGTAGCTACTCCGCCGAGAATTCCTTGTGCAAGCATGAATTGATAGTACTCCTTGCAGAGACTAGTCATCATGACGCTAAAAACGTATAGGAGTGCGGCAGGCCATATTGTACCTCCTCCATAACGATCGAAAAGTGGGCCGCCAACGGCACTTCCACTAAAGAGAAAGAATACCTGGAGAGATCCAATCCACGATATATCGGAAGGGGATCGATGAGAGAGTTGATGAGTTTGGTAGTATTCTTGGTAAACACCTAAGTAAATGGTCAGTTATCGCTAAATTTACCAAAATGGCGCTATTTTAAAGGAGAGACAATGGTTGAACAATCTTGAGACATCAAACGGGAGTTGTGAGAATCCGAAAGACCTACCGAAAGCATTTATATATCCAAATGTACAGAATAAAACTCCAGCTGCTCCAGCTGCTACAGACCAAGCCCTTGCTCCCCCATCAGGAAAATCCATAATAAACGCATTTTGCTTTTCGGCTTCGCTTTGAACCCCTTCCGATCTTTCGTTCTTGATTTCCGCCTTCTCCACCGATCTCTCGATGTCGACGTCGGAATCTACGGGTCTGCCAGTGCTTGTGGGGTCACCCTTAGCCTTATGGGTTTTGGCGGATTCCATTGTGGATAGGAAAACGCGGATATTCCGTGTTTCGCGTCGATTGTTTTGTAAGCAGGGATGATACGGAAATTGATAGTTTCTTGTTATTGCGTCCAATTTTTGATGACACTACGAAGGTCAATGTTTAACAAGTTGTTGTTTGTGAAGTTGTTGATGGCGATGTAGGTTTTGATAATGATCAATCACCCGTCCTTTATCTCTATTTTCTACCACTGTAAGACGGCGGCAAGGGTGTGGACATAATCGACGACGACGCCGATCCTCCCTCTTTTCCCCATCTTCTTCATTGAGGCAATCTGAGCAAATGATGGATATCACGGAGAATTCTTTAAATCCGAAAAGAGCGAGCTCCACGAACATGAATTAGTCTGATTGGTTCAAGCTCAAGCTTGGCTCTCTACAGGATCCGCCACGAGATTTCTTAGTAATCCCAACCGTTACCATTCTCGTGTTAGCTCTTACTTTCTATCATCCGGTATTCTCGGGTGAATGGATCCAATGTCCGAAATCCTTATAAACAGACTGCTTATCTCCGCGCATTGTATCGTATGAGCACGACTCTCTCTCCTTATAATCTCGTCTCGGTCTTTTCATTATTTCGTTTTCAATCCAACTTAATATACCGTCATAAATCCGTACAACCTCGAAATACCTACACTTTTTCGGACACGATCTGCGTCTAAACTGTTTGCTTGATTTACATACCAATCAGTTCAACCGATTTAATCTACGAATTAACCGTCTCAATATACCGTCGGAATTAATTACTTCCATTAAAAGCATTCAATTCAGTTCTATTCTTCACAATGGACATCAATTCCATCGTATTACAAACGTCTAGAATGGAAGGGAATCCTCCTACGCCTCCTACTCAGCCCCGGAAACGTCGCAGGCCAGCCTTATCCTGTATACAATGTCGACGTCGGAAGATAAAATGTGATCGAAACATGCCATGTGGTCAATGCATCTCGTCAAAGACATCAGCATGCCAATATAGCTCCGATCCAGCTCCACAGTCTAAAAGATCCCGGGTCAATGGGAATGGCCAATACCCTGTTACACCTTCAACCGTAGGTCACAGTCCCGGAAGTACCACCCATACATCACCAAACTGCAATGGTGGTACAGATAACGCAACCAATGGTTTCCCACCAAATTCTACAAGCTTCTGGGCCGAAAGAACCCCTATCGTTGAAGGGTCACTTCCACTTCGTGGACAGACCATTGTACCACATCAAACCCCACCGGATCCAACTGTACAAGCTCTCCTAGACAGAGTACATAAGTTAGAACAGATAATTTCTGAAACTGATGCTATGAATGACGGCCCAAATTTACTTAGCGATTCATACGTCAGAGGCCCTAGCTTAAGGGGAAGTCTTTCCAAAACAAGATTCTTTGGGCAAAGTCATTGGATGAATTCAATTGATCAGGTAGGTTCACATTTTATAACTTTTCTTGGTTCCTTCCGCTTCATTCAATGCCCCGGAACCTTTTCTTGCTTCTATCTATCGTCTTTTCCCACTCACTCCGCTTGGAACAACGGCATGACATTCTATCTCAATCATCCTCAATTACGTTAACAATTGCTAATATGTTTGAAGTCTAAACATCTGACCAAACTAAAAGAGCTTGGGCCGTTAAGTAAGGGAGGGGAAGTTTTCGATCTATTGAACAAATGCAAGGCATTGGGTAAGAAGGCAAAAGAATTTAGAAGTGCGAAATCATCTGTACCAAGTGGATACCGCGATTTTGTCCCCGAGAAGGAGATATCCGATCGTCTCGTCAACGCATATTTTCGAACTTTTGAATCCGTCTATCGTATATTACATATTCCAACGTTTGAAGAGGAATATGCATCTTATTGGAAGGATCCGGCGGCATCGGATATGGCTTTCGTCATGAAATTGCTACTCGTGATGGCCATCGGAACATGCTTTTACGAAGATCCTTTACAGTCCAGTTCTTTACATCCCCAAGCTGAACATTGGATTGCTGCGGCTCAAGCTTGGGTGTCAGCACCATCCGAAAAGCATCGTCTTAACATTGTAGGTCTGCAAATTCATTGTCTACTTCTTATAGCTCGTCAAGTAAAATCCGTTGGGGGGGATCTTACATGGATTTCTGCTGGTTCTGTCTATCATTTGGCCATGTCTTTGGGTCTCCATCGTGATCCGATACACTTTCCCAAGATGGGGCCCTATCATGCAGAGATGCGAAGGCGACTTTGGGCGACAGTGTTGGAACTTTCTTTACAGTCAAGTCAAGATCTTGGAATGACACCTTTAATCAACACACAAGATTATGATACGGAGCTACCAGCGAATATCGATGATTCCGAAATTAGTGAAACGACCAAAAAAGCACCAATGTCAAAACCAGTAACGACATTTACTCGAACTTCAATTCAAAGATCGCTTATGAGGACCTTCTGTACGAGGCTCGAAATAGCAAATGCCGTCAATAGCTTCAGAAATGAGATTTCGTACGAAGATACATTGCGTCTAGGATCTACGTAAGTACTCCCTATTAGGATTTTGTGATTCGAGATATGTTTCGTTATATCCAAGTTTACACTGGTCAAGGGATTTAAAGATTATAAGGGACTAACGATCACCACTCTTAGGCTCTCAGCAGCAAGTCGTTCTAGCTCTGGGTTACTACAGTCATTCCTTAGATCCAATTATGAACCAAAGCCAAACCCTTTCCAAGTTAAGTTGCATGACTTCTACACGACCCATTTCCTCTTAGCCTTGCACAGGCCTTATGCAATTAAAGCCAAAGTCAATCCAACCTATTATTTCTCTCGAAAGGTCTGCCTCGAAACCTCTTTATCTCTACTTGGGCCAGCAATATTACTTCCGGAGCAACTAAGCTCATCCCAGCCTGATGATTGGACCCTGCTTACCTGGACCGCATCTGGTATCACGAAGGGGACTTACATACATGCACATATAGGTCTAGGCCTGGAACTAAACCAACAACTTGAAGAGGACCCTCCACTATCTTTATCAATCAACCCACCTCCTCCTCAACAGGTAGAGCTTCTACGTGTACTCCGTGGTGGGCGCGATTGGGCCTCCAATCGAATAATGAGAGGTGATACCAATATCAAAGGACATGTGTTTATATCTTGTCTTTGTGGTCAGATTGAAGCTCTTCAGAAAGCTGCTCCTGCTGATGAGGGAATCATAATCGAGGCTCGGAAGAGTGTAGATCATTGCTTACAATTAATGATGAACAAATACAAAGGGCAAGAAACACAGATAAGTGCAGAAGCGAATCGTAGTCTATCGATGAATTCCGGTCTTAACGGTGTCGCTTGGGATGCAATGGTAAATTTTTTCTTGTATTTGATATGATGGTCAGGTACTGATGTTTTCTAGATGCAAGGTCCAGATGTCGACTTCGAATTGCCAGGAGAATGGGTCTTCTCTGGATGGGAGGATGGTAATTTCTTGATTTGATATGATAGATCCATTAAGTTGTACGGTTAGTTGTATGTTAGAACTGAGCCTTTACGGAGGAAACGATTATAGACTACGGATTTCATTATCTTCTATCTGGTTGCGTATAATAACGCACGTTCTGTCGATCTTCATATATTTACCAGAAGCTTCTAGGGGACAAAGAAACAGGCAACAAAGTATAGCATGTTGATCCAGATGAAGATCTGGATACCCCAAACTTTTGATCTCACGATCGGGAAGAACTTCCATATTACACTGTTGATCACCTAGTATACTATATTGGTCCTTCGACGTCGCATGTAGTAAGCGCAATTTTATTATTAACTAGCCCTCCCTGTTTACCGTTTACCGAGAACATACGTCCAAATCAATTTGTGGCCTGTTCGTGAACCGGGTAAAAGTGTAATAAATGTTTGTGTTGCTTCGCCGCAGACCGACTGCGAAACTACTTGTCGTGTCCAATTCCTACTTGACTACATATAAACTACGACCTAGGCAGTTCTACACCTCTTGTAAAAGAAACGGACTCTTTATGATTCATTGAAAAGTCGTAAAGTTAAAAAATTTCGGCCCACATTACAATTGAACATGAACGAAGAACCACAGTCATCTCCTGGAAAAGAGAATTCTGATTCTCACCCCGAACCGAACCCCACCAAACGACACGGCTGGTGCTTACGAGCATGCTTCGAAGACATTTATCACATCTCTGTCAGAGGAGCTGCAAACGCAAGTTGTGAAACTATTCGTGGTCAGCTTGAAGCTTGTGTGGGAGGTTGGATTGGCATTTGCTATCTTTGGATTACTCGCATCTTTTTTTGTGCAAGATATTGAGCTGAGGAGTCATCTGGAGACAGATTTTGGATACAGAGAAGGAATTGAAGCTATTAAAACTGACAAGTCACCAGTTGACCTTCTGCAATTGTAAGCTACTATATACTGTTAGTGTGTGGCTCGATGATAAAGTTGTGTTGGAATGGGAGAAACCTTGGGCCTAGGATCTATTTTACTCATTTCGTGTATGAGTAGAAAACATAGTTAATTGACGAATCCAAACAGTAAAGAATGAAGCTTTATCTCATAAATGAAGGAGTGTCACTGATGTCAGAGTCAAAGGGCAGAGTACATATCGGAATCAATGTCACCTAGTATTGGTTTTTCCATAGTCTTCCTATTTTTAGAGACGAATTGAGATGTGCAACAAAAGAAACATAATATATCTTCCGAATGACTTTTATGAAGAAATTCAGTATTCTAGACTGATCGTTTATTATTCTACAGCCATGCTGTGGAAATACTTACGTTTTGACGCGCGGTTGAGGCTAATAAAAATTAGCTTGACTGCTGACTTACAGGCGGAAACCTGTAAACATTCATTTAGGCAGTACCAATTCTCAGCCTGGTCTTTGAAGGAATGTTTGCATTGAATTTTGGTAGAGATATTGATAGGAAGTTATCAATATGTCAGCCTTGTGGTCCATCGGTGGTTCCTTGGGTCACAGGGCCCCTGCACCAATTCTGCCTTGACTAACGTCAAGTTTTTTTTTACTGCATACTATGTAAATCTTTAGCGCTTCTATTTCTGGTTTCTTGGTGTCTATTGGGATCTTTACTATTGAGTGTTGACAGGTGAGAAGGATATACACTGCCTGAATTGTTTTGTCAATGACTTTTGTTGCATATCTGGATTTGAATTTCTATTAATATCGTTTTTGAGAGTGGCTGTGATGTTCAGTTTTCTGTACCTGCGGTGCTGTAGCAATTCATACTGTTGTTCCGTACTGGTTGCTCAATGCCATAATATATTGCTCGGATAGAGAGAACTGGGAGGTTCGCTTCTTTGGTTCATATATTTTTTGAGGAGCTCAAAAGTATATGTCGTAAAAATAGCTTTGTTAGGATATCTTCGAGGATCTTTGGGACAAAGCTTCACATCACTGTACATCACTTTCAACAACGAATTCAAGCCACCTATATTGTCTCATCCCCTCATCACCCCACCCCATTTACATTTACCAATGCCAATTCCAAAGATTTGTTGCACATCGTACATTGGGGCTCTAAAAATACCTTGTTTACATCGCTTTTCTCTAGAGTGAACGTTCCTTCCATCCTACTCTCGCTTAAGCTTATCGGCTTCTCCTTGTGAGATTGTTTTGTAAGCGAATCTTATCGAAGTTAAATTTAGAGATGTTGTATCTAAGAATACAAAAAGCGTAGGATCATGCATATCATCAAATGTTCGAGAAGCCTTATGTTCGTTTCGATAAGCGCTGTGGTGGAGGTAGCTAGATGGAGGTGTTGATGAAAGTGGGGTGAACAGGCTTCAGGGTGAGGATTGTGGGGAACGGGGTCTCGATCACTCAATAAAAGGAGTGCATATGCTGTTGTTTATTTTTGGGGACTTTATAATGACTTTCACATTCTTTTCGTTTTCATGAAGTGCAAAAATTGCGTAGAACTGATGTGCTGAGAGATTTTAGAAAGTTGGTTTTTTTTCTTTCGGATAACGTGATAGTCATGTGATTTCTCTCGAATAAAATCACCTAGCTTCCATCGCACCAACCTTCCAAATGTATCTCCCTTAGGCAATGTTGCTTCTTCAAACTCGCAGCCTCTCGCGTCACTACAAACCTCACGAAAAAAACGATAAGAATACTTCGGATCATAGATTAGGTAGCTCTAGATTAATCTCTCCGCTTCGCGATTTCAATTCGAAATACCCCAACGACAAGCTCAAGCTCGTATCCAAGAACAACAGACTCTGGTTCAAATTTCACGATTGTCCAGCCCAGCTTTATCACGTTTCGTAAAGCGGGAGCCACATCCAATATATAAGATGTCATATCGAGAGTGCTGCTCATGCCGATAGAGTTGAGAGCAGGGTGAATCGCAATGATGAGACAACTATCACTACAAGATTTGTTCGATTAAGGAAGGAGAACTAGAGCAAATAAAAGGAAAGGACCCGTTAAGCTCGCGATGGACTTGGTGGCTCGATGAGAATCAAGCGCCAAAGTCTCGAAATGGGTTTTCTCGAAATGGGACTGTCGCGAACGTGAAAACCCAGAATTGCATCCTTGCCAAGAAAAGCAATGTTTTCGGACCATCCATGAACCCGAATTCTCCAGAGTAATTGACTGGTGATATCAACTTAGACGGGGCTAGAGCTGTAACTGCAAACAAGTGAGCATACATGAAATCAGAAACCTCGCGTTCTAGCAATAAACGAACTCGATTAGTATGTACTTTTTGTCATTGCGTTCATCGCTAGTAAATATAGACACTGATAAACTTGATTTTAGGTAAAATCTCATGAAAACACTTCGCGCTCAACTTTAGCCACCCATCCTACAGACTCTTCAGTCGATATCACACAGCCCAATAATGATACAACCGGCAATCATGCACAGCCTCGATTAGGAAAATATCAGCTACTAGATGACCATGAAGGTGCAGACAGAGAAGCTACAAAGAGTACTAAGAGTGAAGCAGCAAAGGCTCGCGTTAAGGAATTAGAAGCCGAATGAAACGCCCAAAGAGAAAAAATAGCGAAGCTATCCAGGAAACTCCACAAGCAACGAAAAATTGCTGCGACTCAGCAGGAAATACTTGAACACTTGGTTAACGAAAACAAGCGACATTCTGGATTATTAAACTCTGTCCGTGAGTCTCTCAACATCACCAATCACCAACTGTCAACAAAAAGGAACGTCCACAAGATGAGGTTACAAGTCTTAAGGAAAGTCTCAAGGTTTTTAGGAATGGTCGAATTTTAGTAAAAACTGTGACTGACGGGCACACCATTGAGGTTAACGAACTCAGGAAACGTTTGCAGATTTTAGAAGAGCGTGACTTGGGCGCGAAAGATGATGTACAAAACCGAGTTTCTCGCCTTAGAGACCAAATCAATGGTGATAAATGAATTCGATTGGTGGCAGAGTGGGAGTGATTAGACCCTTCGAGGTATTAAGCTATATGTAATATGTAAGATTGTTGTATACCTAATCGCATTCCCTTTATTTCATGATTCAATATCTTCCTATGTCTGTTGTGATACTAGATTGAGTTGAGCTCCGCCGGAGTGCAATCATCGCGGATATGGAGCATGGGTTGCGATTGCATCAGGACCACATTAAGATTCTCGAAACCAAGAGATGGGATATTGAGAAATTTGAGAAACAGCTAGCTCATTCAGAGTCTCTCATTGAAGAATATAACAGCGTCGGTGATGCTCGTGGAAAGAGAGAGAGAGATGATTTAGTCAAATGAGCAAGTCGAAAGGCGCCAATTACAGCAATACAAAAGGGAGACTGAAGCCTCAAACGAAAAAACTGCTCTGGGCCGAATTGCCAAAGAATTAAGAAGTATAACTAGCCTGATAGACGGCCCTGATGTGCCAAACAAACGAAGTGGCTCCAACGATTTTCAGATCAATGACCTTGTACATTCTGATAAAATAGTGATGATGCGTTTTGAGGCTGTAGAAGAGAAGAATGAGATGCATGTTTCCAAAATTGTGGAATTGGAAAGAAGGAACGAGAGGTTACAAAGTGAATTGAGGAATAGGTCAGCTCGGGCTATGACTGGCGGACAAATTTTAGATAGATCAGATCCAATGGAGCCGACAAAAACGGTTCTTGCTTAATGTTACACCATTGAGGTAGGGGTAGCTTCACGCCACTTTTTGGAATTGCTGTTTGTCTTAAAGTCGGTCTAGTGAGAGACATCTCTACAAGGTATCTTCCTGTCAAATAATTTCCCCTGTCCACTGATCACATCGGAATCAAAGTCGTTGATGATTGATTCAATCGCAAAAGTACAAAACCAACAAGGTAGTTCTGTGCATACAGGACGTGTAATCACCCACTGTTTTTGAAACGTGAAAGAGATTGTGGGGTAATTATGATATTGAGTGTTTGCTTGATTGTTCTCGCGCTTTTTTCTCGCGCTCTCAGGTTCTTCTTTACATCTACGGCCTCAATATATGTGCATATCAAAGGATCAATCCATTGCATTTATGTTCTACTTCCATCCTGCTACTATAGCACAAATGTTTGGTAATCCTCGGATAATGGAATCGAAGGCACTTCTTTGGAACGCTTCAAGAGTGCCTCGGCGATATTCATCACAAGATGAAAACATACAATCATTGGGTAATTTTTCGATGAGCTTTTCTTGCCTCTATAAATCGAGCGACTATCTTACAAATATTAGGAGAAGTGAAGCACAAAGACAAACTCCGCGAGGTGGACTCTGGTTCACCCATACCCATTTCGAGCTCATCAGCGACTCCTGTACCAGTGTCGTCAGGGCAGAATGATGACCTACAAGAAATGGGCCGATCGTCAAAGGTAATAATAGATGAATCTTGTTTAATGAAAGGAGTAAGTAACATGTATTTTCTTTGACAACCATTTGTTTTGGTTATGCGGTAATGGTTCTGACTTTTCAAGGCACCATCGTGCGACAAAGCGAAGGCTAAAATCGACGAGCTCGGGAAGAACTTTCCAAGTGATTTGCCGTACATCGTCACATACGAGAAGAAATGTCTGGAAGCCATATGTCAAGAATGTGGTCTCAGATTGAAAATTAAGGGTTCTGCACTTGGCGGTATTACAAAACATGCGACCAGCATATGGCATGGTTTCAACGTCAAACAGAGACTAGGTTTAAACAATCTGGAAGAGACATCAACCTCCAAATTCATGACCCGAAGCAAGGCTATGGAGAATCCATCTGAGCCAAATTCCTGAAGGGAAGTCCAAAACCAGCGGAAATCTAAAAATGAAGAGCCATGGGAACTACTGTCTATTGAAGTTGATCCTACTAGACCTGTCGACCATTCTGGGAAAGGGGTTCGGAGTGTGCATAAATAGTGTGTCCATCTTTCTGTAATAACCTGCGACTCTTTAGAAGAACGGGCAGGCCAAGAACTTTAAGTCATCTATTCTCAGCTGTAATAATGATCAACAGATCTGAACAACTCCACCCGCACAGGTCACACGGCTGCAAAGTGGCATGAGTGACTATTTCACACGTGCTATCCTAAATTTGTAGGATTGTCCGTATACCAGAACGGGTTCAGAGTTCTCACAAGTGCCGATGTCGACACGTATAGGTAAATTGTGCGGGTGGGTGTATGCATCGCCTTTGACGCATGGTTAAGTGGCCAATGAGTTGAATACTTTAGATTTGGATTATTGCAGTAATGCCTGGCAATCGCTTTCTGGCCAACTTTGCATTGGACGCGGTCGAGTTGTTTTCTCGACCATTCGAGTGATAACGAGAATGGGGTAGGGTTCATGGGCTCATGCATACAGACAAAGGCCTTTCGTACATGTCCTTTTGTACTAAAAGGGTCTGATGCGTCCAAACAAACCTTTGTTTGCTCGAGGCAGCACTAATTCTTTGCTTATGTTTTGTACTTCTGCTGAACGTGTCGTGCCCCTTTTTCGAATCTTTTTGCTAGTAGTGAACTTGTTTAGAAGTCAAATATAAACTGTCTTCACTCGCTTCCTTCGATCTCTATTCCGCTATCACTTCACTAATCCTTCCCATGTGAGTGCCCAGCACGATGAACCGACCTTACAGCACTAGCCGACCCTTTCCTCGGGCTAGAAGGGCTGATAGCACAGATTCGTCTGACGGAGAAATTGCAATCGCCGTACAACGCTCCGACATGACTTTCAAACCTGAACCCCCGAATAAGACTATCTCCGTTAACATGCAAATGGCACAAATGACATGTGAGCTCTGTAGGAAGCAAAATGAACGCTGTACCCATGTCGGCGACACAACATTGAGTATGCTTCTGCCATCATGTTGCGTGTTCGACTGAAGACTGAGTAACAATGACCAGGGGTGTTAAATCAAGAACGACCCATACCTGTAACCAAAATACCAGTATCCGTAGTGCTGAGCTTGGAAACGATACTATCAAAGTTGATAATGATTTTATTCTAAAACCTGCGGCCTCGTTGAGTCCTACACTAGATTCTGGTCTGCAACAGAGTACACAGGAAAAATCTGCTCTACAGAAGCACACGAAAAGTCTCGGAGTCATGGACGCATGTTCGAAGCTCATTGTAGATAAACCATGCAAAACACCGGGCGTAAGTGACTTATTTGCGCGCGACCCGATTTCTACGCAATCACAAACCTGATGATTTTAGGTCCCAAATTGGGAAAAGGTCAAGGTCAAAGTCGAGAGTCTGAGAATTTATTACCCTGACGACCTACCATACATCCTCATGTATGAACACCGAGCTCTGAACCTGAGATGTCAAGAATGTCTCAACGATATGAATCTTCGTGGAGGCGTTGGAAACATCGGAAGCCACGTGAATAGCCGACTTCATGCACTTTACGTCGAGCGCAGGCTAAGAGACCTAGAAGCGCAGGGTTTTCAGAGGAATCTCAATGAAAAGGTTAGGGAAAGGGTATCACGCTTGGATATTCAATCAAAATCGAAAAGAAAGCATGCCAAGGCGCTCCACGGAAGAAAGATCTCAACACAAAACTGTTCAAAACTTACATTATACAGCGACCTCGAAGATGAATTAGATTCGGACTATGAGCCATTTCAGTCAAAACGTCAACGGGTAACAGACTTCTTCTCCCCCAAGTTGGCTTCTGATGATCTTCAGTCTGATGTTGGAAGATCCAACGAAGCTTTGATGCGGTCCCAAGTCGGTAGATTGGAGGATGAGTTTGACAAATTCAAAAAGACCATGCTTTCCGTGCGTCAGAGCGTACTTGAGAAGACAAGTAGTTCGGAAAGAGAGCTTCAAGAACTCAAGGTGCCTCTGTCTTAGTCGCAACCGCACACTGATCGAGTTGTGATATTGCAAGAAAGGGTTAATGCACTCACGGCAAGAGTCTCCAATCTGGCTGGTCTTGTCGAAAAGCATGAGCTACCTACCAGTCACAGTAGCACTGCTAACGACGCCGCCCTCGTCGAGGGTCTTGGAAAGTCCAAAGGGACAATTATGAAGTGCCTGGCTACCTCTGAGGAACTTTTGGCTGCTTTGGAGGAACATAACGACAGACATTTTTCTGAGATCAAGGAACTAGAAAGAAGATAAGAGACGACATGAGAAAGTATGAGTGATGAGCTTGAGACGGATGGTTACACGGATTTCTTTAAATGGGCGTTTGAAAAAAAATAGGAGGGGGCCAGAAGTGAGGTTCAGCGCTAGGAATGTTTCAACTCGTGTGTAGAATAAATTGCTCTTGGAGTGTGTCGCGACTAGCTTATTGCACCAATATTGACGTGTCCGAAGCAATTCGTACTACGTTCATCCCATGCCATTTGGCTGGAGCGACTGAAGTAACTCAAAATAAAATTCTCATTCCCATAGATCGCATCAGTTGCCTTCGTGCTCAATCTTTTTTGCTTCTCTCATAAAGCTCTGGAAGTTGCATATTTACACCTTTCCTTCATAATCTCTCTTCCAAATGGTATCCCAGACTCCCTTGTCCACCGCGAACTCTCTTACATAATCATGCTCTAGCTCATGCGTCCTCCTTCCAAGCAACACCAAACTGTGCAAGGGACCTCCCAATTGCTCATCGGCGTCACATAATTGTTTTAATGTGCCACTTACAAATTTCTCATCTTTACAGCCTACTCGAGCAGCGCCCACGCAGAGACTCTCCTCATTGTAAACCCCTCCCTCTCCATTCTCTGTCTTGAGCTCTTCAATTTCCAACATCTGCGATGCGCACTGTCCTACGGTCATGTATCTCGGTGGCTCGTATATCTTTCTTCCTCTCGCCATATTCTCCATAGTTTGCTCCTTGACCTTGATGTCCAACAACACCAATGTGTGTAAACCGATATCCCTGTTCTCTCGAATACGATCGTAGAATGAGGCAGGCTTCCAGTTCTCAGTGAAGAAAACCATTGAAACAGTTTGGCCAAAGTTGTAAAGTTGGAGACCGGTAGCACCAATCGCGGACATAATGGAGGCATTAGGAATAGTAGAGATTGGAATGTTCAAGGAACGGGCGCGGAGGACAAGATCGGTATGGGTGGTAGCACTAAACCTGTGTCAACATATAATCTTCAAATTATGAAGAAACCATTATGTAGAACGAACCCAAAAGGATCTCCCACAACTAAAAATGCAACATCTACATTTTGCGCATCTTCCAAGATATCATCACTAGCACTCTCTACCATATCTCTATCTGCAATAATCACTTCTCGTCCATAGTAACTTTCCTATGTCTACATCAGTCAGCGCCTTACTTCCCCGGGTTTAGAAAAAGACTTACAAGAACTGTTTTATCCACCAGCAAAATACTGGTGTAGGCTTCAAGGTATACGCGAGCGCATTTCTTGACAGCCTCAAGTCCTTTGACAGTAATATCTGTCTCATCAGAGAGACCAAGACCAATGAGGTAGAGCATCTTTGTTGTCTTGTGTACTGTGGAAACAATTGAGTGAGGGGTTCGAAGAAGAGTTCATGAAAATTAATTTGCCCCGCACATTTGCTCATACTTCCATCATTCACCGCCCGGACCTTGAGAAAGGCAAAATCGCAGCCTTCCTCAACCTTACATAGAAAATTATTTGCGACAGCAATTTGAGCTGTGTCCTACAATTCATACCTTTGAAGACGAATTGAAAGCCCTGCATAGAATTGGAGGTCACACCATACCTCTCATCATCAACTACAATCCCAAAATCGCGACAATGTCCTCCAAAAAGGGCGCCTACGAAACTAATGCCTCGGACACTGATTTCCGCAAAAAATACGATCGCGAAGCCAACGTAGCAAAAGCACGCGAACAAGAAGCCAAAGAAAAAGAAGAAGGACGTCTACGATATGAAGCCAAGCTTGCCGGCAAGAAATACTACGCGCCTCTTACTGGCGATGAAACTCTTACATCTGCGCGCGCAACCCGTCTCGATGTATCTGCCAATGTAGGGAAAACCATATTGATGCCCGCGGGGGCAGCGACAGGCAAGAGAGGAAAGGGTGCGGGTTTCTACTGTCAGGCTTGTGACTTGACTTTTAAGGATAGTTTGCAATGGGTGGAACATGAGAATAGTATGCAGCATTTGCGGGCGATAGGACAGACGGGAGAGGTTCAGAGAGCGAGTGTGGAGGATGTGAGGAGGAGGATTGATGAGATTTGGGAGAGATTAGAGAGGGAGAAACATGAGGAGGTTGTTACTTTGGGGGAGAGATTGGAAGGGAGAAGGATTGAGGATGAAAAGGAAAGAGAGGAAAGGAGGCAGAAGAGGAGGGAATTGGCTGAGAGAAAGAAGGAAGAAAAGGATAAGGAAATTGCGGTCAAGAAGGAATATGGGGAAGATGTTAGGGTGGAGGGCGAACATGATGAAGACGACATGATGGCTAGTATGGGGATCGTTGGATTTGGATCATCGAAAAAGTGAAGATACATTATTTGCATATGGGATTTAGCGACGGTGTTCAGGACGGAGTATATTAAATCATACAGATTGTATTATTGGGTTTTGTATAGGTCAACATATCATGATTACTACCGATTTGGCTTGTTGATTGCCATCACTCCTTGATATTTGTGCCCGCCACATGATTCGGACTACCATTAGAAGGACCATGTCCATCTGGTACACCATTTGGGTAAGATATCTGCTTGTTCAGCCAATCCCTGAACTTTTTCCTCCTAGACAATTTTACTGGCGAATCGTCTAGTTCAGTCTCGTCACCACTCTGCATTTCGTCTGACAAATCAATATCCGGAGCCCATCTTTCCTCATCCCCACAGACAACCACATACCAATTGCACACTTCCTCTGCCTCCAAATTCTGCCTCAGTTTATCAAGCCACCCTGCTTTTTCGTTCCTCTTCCTAATTTCTTCTACACTCATTCCCAATTCCTCGCAATTAGGAGGAACACGTTCTGCTTCAGCAACTTTGGCTTTATACTTCTCTACCTCTTCGCATATATTAACACCCAACCCAATTTCAACCATATAATCTGACACATAGGCCCACGGTTGACTGGTTGTTTTCAGATCCTCTGGATCATATTGTTCGACCAATTTGATCGCACTCCAATCATTAAATCGCAATGGCTTTTCCAGTCCATTATGCGACTGTTCTCTCGAAATCGCATTTGTGGCTCCAGATGCTGATCTACTATGTAAAGTTTCCGATCCCGAATTGCTAGCATTGTTCTGTCCGTTCGAATTCCCTTTCCTCAATGTCAAACTGGACTTCTTCTTGTGAGGTGACTTTAAAGAAATCATGGATTTTTGGTTCTTCTTCGTGAGGGTTCTTGGGGATTGCGGCTTGGGAGTTGCGCATTCTGTGGGGGGACTGGGAATAGGTGGAATATCAATGGGAACCGGACTGCTTGGTGGAAGGAAATCGAATTGTTTGTAAAAGGAATTGAGGAGAGCATTCGAGGTCAAGGGCGCCATTAACCATTCTGGAGCTGCATCTTCGATATCATTTAGAATCACATAAATACGAATATTCTCTCTTTTCCAACGGAAACCGTGAAGGAGGTAGGTAGGCATTTTTGTGTGATTGCGATGGTGAGAATGTTAGATGTGTTGATGTTGGGGACACACCAGAAGGATATCAGCTTTTAAATATCATATCTGATGCTTTAGGAAGTAACTTTTCTGGGAATATTGGTAAAATGTTAGGGAAATTGCGATTGGCAATTGCGGCTGCGAAAAGAGTTACGAGGCTATCTTTTCCGGGGTTCACTAGAGCCGATGTCTGTGCGACAGTGATGTTGGTGATGTTGGTGCTAACTTCAAAGCTCGACTTCAAGCTTCTTTGGTAAAACATCCCCAACTGCTTTCGCTCATCAAATAATTGTATTTCTGAATCACTTCCTCAACTAGCGGCGGTATATGAACAGCCCTTCAGTCTGGGGAAGTCCGGGCCAGCCCCGAGTATACTGTCGTGATTCCTGGCTTCAATAGAGGATTGCATTTCCCGGTGACGTTCAAACTTGGTTGCAAACTCTTCTAAATCCAAGACTATCGTTTTCAGTGCAATCTCGAATATGATTCGTATCTCAATGCCCTAATTAGTTCAAGGCATTGAGTTCTTTCATTCTGCCTTGCTCTTTCAATTGTCCTTTTCAGATGTTGAACCTCCAATTGTTCCTGAAGATACTAACCGCACCAATAATTGTCGAGGATCTCTGTATCCTTGTCTTGTCCATACACGGGGGAAATGATCTTGTTGTTTAGATGGGATGCTATGACTTAGCATCTTTTGATGGGTATCAAAAGCTTTCATAGTGAATACTATAATGAGGCTATGAATATCCTCACTCTCATCCGATGAAGAGCTCGGTAGTTTCCGAGTCTGTGTAAACAAACAAATCCCAGAATTTCACGGAAGAACTCCTTCTGAAGACGAGTGTACCTTCATCACAAAAACATCTACAAAACAGCTTTGTGCATTCTCTTTTCAATTTGTATCCAATCTTCTGCAATATCTCTGGTCGCATTACAAAGCAAAGACCATACAGAGGCTCAAGCATACCACTCCACTGCTTTCCAACCCCGCATTCTCATGTTATACACCATGCCTCCCAGTATTCTTCCGAATGGCATGGTACAAGATCTTCTCGATTTTATCCGCGAAGCAGTTCCTATCATCTATGAAGCAAGCATTGAACTGCTGGCATTAATCTTAGAAAATGATCCTGCTACATCAGATGTAGCTAAGTCTCACAGCCGCTGGATACACATTAATCTTATGCGACAACTCTTACCACTAGGAGAAGGAGAGAGACAAGAATGGATAATTGAGCTATTTAGCGGCAAAAAATACACTGTGAAATTCTTCGCGGAGACGATGATTGAAGTAAGTTGGCTCAATCCTCGCGGGACTAGCATGATTCTCATAATAATAGAGCGGAATTTGGACAGAATTCGAAGATGAAAATGGATTTACTTTCTATTCCATGAATCGACAAAAAGAAGCGAATTTTCGCAAATGGCTCTTACAACCTAGAATTCAGGAGATTTACAACGGTGAAGTAATGGAATGCCTACCTCTGATTGCGAAGAAAAGCGTTGAAGGATCAGATTATATACCCAAGAAAGGTCCCAAATGTAAGATACTGTGCTATTTCTGCATTCAATCAATATACTAACACACTTCGTCAGCGAAATACAAAGTCGTCGCTCCAGATTGGCAGAAGGAATTCATCGAGACCAAGAAACAGCTTGCGCAGTCACAATCCCTTATTGAAAGCCTACAAGAAACGGTACAAACAGCGAATGACATCATAAATAATCAAGGCACCGTCCTCGACAATACCAGGCAGCAATTGAAAGTGGCACGTACGGCTAATGCAAGGTCAGAAAAAGTATGGATGAAGAGATATAAGAAGTTTTTCAAACGTACGTGGAGCTAGGTGGTTTTGAGGGATTAAGATAGGCGGGGAGATGGAGTTATGGGAATACAGGCTGTGTCGGAATAGGAGTTTTGGGGCATGTTCTGGTACTGAGGTGAGAATAGTTGAATGATTGTCAGGACTACCCTTGTACGTTAAATATGTCGATCTGCAACAATTCGTTTTGAAGAATATTCTAGATTGATTGAAAGATCGTGGAAGATTTTGGGGCGGTCTAGAAGTGTGGATTAGCGTGAAGCTAAGGAGAGCTACAGATAGACTTTCTTCTATTGAAATACTTGTTAGGGCTTCCCTTGTAATTCTAAGATGCAGACGTGCAACGAAAGTTTTCTGTTACTGTAATTGGATGACATCCGTGATGGATATGATTCTAAAGGGCTGGTTTACATACTATGTCTTAGGGTAATAGCTACCTATTGTTCGATTGCTTGCTTACAGTACCTACTTATCAGGATAGTAGTAGTAAATTCTCAATCGACTCAGTCTGTCTATGTCTTGTCAGGATACACCTTCATGATTTTTGGCCTAAAAGTTCTGAATGATACTTCATTCGTTTTTTATTTAATCTGATGTCAGTCCATCTTTACCAGTATATGAGTACCCATCCTTTCATGCTTCTCTTATAGTATTTCAACGTAATTACAAAGTCGATTGAGACACACTACACGATCTCCTATTTCTAACTTATACGCACCGCTATTTCAGTTCAAATACCGAACCCAACTGACCTGAAACTCTCGTCTAAACACGCAGAACGACGACAATATCGGGAAACTTTCGAGCAGCATCTTGGAATATTTAGAATATCCTCAATCCATCAAACTGCATTTTTCCATACACGATTCTAGATTTCAAACCCCGTACTAGAACGAGTATCACCTCAAACTCAATTGCACAACTCCATTTGACTCACGTGTCCTATCGTTTTTGGATTTTACAAACTCTCGTTTAAATCCACCAAGCGAGATCTTGATTCATTACACACATATGCACAAGCCCAACGTGACAATTCTAGCATGCTCATTTCCTCTCAGTATACAAATCGAAAGTAAGCTTCTTTAATTCTTCACTCAGACTTAGATATTAGTTATTAACAATCCTTAGAAATGCCGTCACATAATCATAAATCTATAGGAACTGTTGCATGTCTAGAGAAATCGAGCATTCATATACCAATACCGATGTACAAAGTAGAGAAAATCTAGCTTATATTTCCCGTCCCCTATTATTTTGTATGTTCAGGGGGCTGAAAAATAATCATTTAAGATTACTGCGATCCGATCCGCTAATCGATGACACAGCTCTGTATTAAGTTTCTAATTTTAAGCTACAGTGTCACGAAGACACATGCGCATAGCTCCGTTTCGTGTAGCTTCCAAACGAATGTGATGGATCTTCAATCTATTACTATCAACCAGATGGTACTAACGAAACACCTATATCAAATCTCCCCAATGCCAACCATCATAACGCATACTCAAATCGCAACTAGACCGCTCAAATACACCACCTCATATCCCCTTCCTCCCTCTCCCTATCCCCATCTAGCATCCCATTCTATCAGACCAAACCTCAACTCTCGAAGAGGGCTCTCCAAAAAATCAAGAGACTTAGCCAATAACCACTCGCAGAGCGAGAATTTCTCGAATTACTGATGCTTCTCCTATTCTCACTTGAGTTTTAGATTCTCGATTAAGATCCTATACTCCTTCATACTCATTGATATACCTTCGCGACTTTGGCACGCATCCCTGCCATATATCTATGATAGTCGGATTCAAGTAGAATAAATTATTAGATGCTCTAGTGACTAGCCATGGTGTAAGATTTTAATAGGGATTCTTGCTTGTATAAAAGTCACTACTCTCTAACAATAAAATTTACCCCTCCTGCTTGAGGAACTTCAACACATGTTATAATACTCAGACATATGTAGATATTCCGCTATATACCCTCAATGAAATCTAAAAGTAACATCAAAATACTATATCATATATCTAGTACGTTTGAATGGGGTTTGGTAAATGGGCGCCTCTATCGATGAATACTTGATAAAACATACAGAGAGATTTCTCTTTCATTTCAAGTTACGAAGGGTTAGAATAGAACTATGCGGTGTTAATTTAATCAAACGAAGCGAATCAATCTACTTTATGTCTCATCTCAGTACTTCATTTTTCCCTTCCAAAGGAAGCGCGAAGAAAAGAAGCGAGGTATAACCCAAAACTCAAACCTCAGTTCAGGAACCCTTCAAGATATAAATCAAGATCAGAGGAAAAGCCAGGAGAACGCACTACAGACCACGATAATCAAAGTATATACAAAAACCCAACTTCGTGCCAAACTTACTAGCTTACTAGCTACAGTTAAAACTTAAACACAGTTCCTTCCTTCCTTCGTTACCCATTCTTGAGTTCATTATCAACTTGCAGACTTTCAGACCTCCAAACCTCTACATCAATATCCCTCATCACACATCACATATCGCAATTGCACGTCCGAATCCCTCTTAACATAAACCACAATCCACAACCGCAAATGCGATATATTCGCGACGGATCAAGTGCTATCAACATCGACATTGACATTGACATCAGCATCGACATCGACATCGATATCAATCAACAAAAACACAACCTCACAGTACCGTAACAATAACAAGAACAAATTTGAGAATATAAAAGAAGAACAAGTCAAATAGACAACGAAGATAAAGTAAATTCCGTCCCCCCAAGAAAAAAATCTCATTCTCTGGGTATCGTTGTCTCATGACATCATAATATCATAGTATCATTTATAACGTATCAAATCCTTCACCTGTATGAAAAAGAGATCGATATTCTGTGACATATATTCCTTCTTCTTCTTGTTTTCAGTCGTGGCATTCTGGTGGGTATTCCCACGGTGATTCCTGGGGTCAAGAAGAATGGTATGAGGAAGTGAGAAATCAAGAGAGTGGAAAAAGTGAGATGGAGAAGTAATAAGTAAAAAGTAATGAGAGAACGAACAGTCAAGGAAATTGAGAAGTAGTGCTGCAAGTACAGCAACTAACGGAGAGAGTATCGAAAGTTCAGTATGACGAATGAATGAATGATTGATAAAAGTTGGATTCTCGAAAAGCTGGGAAACGTATAGGAGAACGTATAAAATCATAATCTTCATGATCTCTACAAAATCCACCATCTCAACTGCGAATTAAGAAATCGAGAGGTCGAGCACGGTGAGACTATCTGATAATCGCAGGTTTCCTCGTAGTGTGGGCGGGTTTCGAGCGGACTTTTGCCCCTCCAAATTATAAGTTAAAGATTCACGAACCCTCATTCCAATTCGACTCATTTCGATACAAGACCGGCAGAGGAATTTCTCCATAAACCGATGTATCTTGTTAAAGTTCAGCCGATGCATGCCCCGGCATATCTTCGATCGCGCGCTCGGATTCCGAGTCAGAATCTAGAGGGTAGAATACGCTTATGAATGCATCTGCTGCTATTCGGGGTGTTAGTCTTTTGATCTCACTCTTTCTCTTCCCTATTTCATTTCTTATTCTTCATTTTTCTTCCATCCGCTGGAGAATCCAATTGATACTTTTTGTGAAAACCACAAGGATACAAACCAAAAGAGTGTGCAAAGTAACAGTAAGAAGAGAAGAGAAACCCGAAACCTACCAGCTCCATGCACAAAATTCAATTCAAACTCCCCATGTTTCCTCACCTGCGCACGTCTCGAATATTCATCACAAAAAACATAGAGATGCAAATCTTTTACCCAAACACGATGACGCGAATGTCGCGCTAGCCAAGTATCGGATGTGACTTGGAGGTCGGTTACTGTTCTTTTCTTAGCGAGCGGTGGGAGGTTAAGTGTGCAAGTTTAGGGAGAGGAAGAAGATAGAAGCGTGATAAAAGAGGATTGAAAAAAGTAAAGAAGGAAATCCATACTAAAAGCAGTCCAAATAGGACATTTCCTCAATTCTCCATTTGCAACCGCGGCGTGAAGACGTAAGGTATGGGTTTGTTGATTTTCGTAGACGAAGAGAGAGTGGTGGAATCCATCGTCTAATATGTGTCTATTTTTATGGATGTGTTAGTAGGATGCTTTATTCATACCCGGTAACTCGTTTTCCTAGTCCAGGTTTCGCATCTCTGCCTTTTGGGGAAAATTAGTTACCTACCCTTGAAAAATCTTTACTTCTCCAGCAATAATATAATCATCTCTTGGTATCAAATTTGTGAGTTGGGAACGCGCTTTGAGTGCTACGAATGAGCAGTGGAAGAGCACCATTCCTGTGATATTAGAAAGTTAATTTCCGAATCATCGCATTTTATACTTATATCCTCGATCCGATTGAATGATAGGTTTACAAAAAAGTACGAACGTTGCCAAGTTCTTTCACAAAACAGTCAGCACATTCTCTTCAAATCATGTTCCCCTTTACCTTCCCCTCATAATCGCTTCCCTTCCAAACCCTTAGCTGAGAAAAGCATCACTCACTTAAAAAATAAAGCCATCCAAATAGTTGGATGTTCCTTATACTCACTCCACCTCTTGAAACACAAGGCACTTCCATGTCTCCGAATACACAGCTCATGAACACCAAAAGAAGAATAGTGAGGATTATTTTGCTTATCCATCCAGCGACAGAGCAAATGGGGGGATTGATGAAGTGTTGTATCATCGAGGTAGAGTGTTACAGAGAGGTGATTTTTGTCAAAGGATCTGAATAGTTAGTGAGACGAAAGCTAATGAGGGGAGTTGAATAAATAGTGAATAGTGAAGGAAAGGATATCAGAGAGTTGAGAAAGTGTAGGACTCACAATTTGAACAAAACTTTTGATTGCGGAGGGATACCCAACTTCATAAGATTCATCGATGGACCCCAACATCTCGATCTATATCCATCCTATAAGTTAATCATTGTAATTCCTATGAACACCTCCTCTTCCACGATATCAAACTTTACACCCCTTCTCTAATTCCCCTTCATCCAACCTCCAAATATAAAATTAGTTTAAATAAAGAAAGACAAACATACTCTCGCCTGTGTTTCAAAAGCGCTTGCGAAAGCGGTTGCGCATGATCATCAAAGATCTTTTCCGCCCAGTGCCGTCTCTAAACATCATTAATATCCCAAATCTTGACTTCCATACGATTTCCCTCCCTGATACTCGCCAGACACAGATATCCAAGTGGAAAAGCTCAAATCAATACCGAGAATTCGCTTACATACCTCAATTTCCATAAGATTCGGTTGCGCAGGAGCAAGATGTGGCTGTATCGGAACTGGAGGTGCTATAAACACAGATTCCCGGGTTAATCGATACATGTTCTCCATTTCGCCACACGTTTACGAGACGAGAGTACCGACACGAGATGCGACGACCAAAACCCAGAGAAGACAAATTGACTCAAAAGAAAAAAAAAACATACCAGGAATCCCCCTCAAAGATCTCAGCCTTAAAATCCTCAAGCGCAGCAATTCCAACGTCGTGGGATCGTAAGTTGGTGATCTATGTGCTGACCGCTGTTACCACCATCCAATCAATTTCTTCCCATCCCACTCCTCTCCCACATCTCACCGAATTAAATCTAGCACCAGAACGAAATCTTGCACCCCTCCAAACGATCCGTTCCGTTCCGTTCCCCTCAAGAAATGAAACGAGAGACGAAAGACCTTCACTCACCTACTCAACAATCTCACACACTGCACCAAAAAATCCACATACATCACAAACCGCAACGCCAACGTCATGCCCCCCTGTACATTCAACCGTTCATGCATCAACATCCATTTCATTCTAATGGACCAATCATCACAGAGCAAAAACGCCAGCATATCCCTGAGCGTTTTTTGCAAACACGGTAGGATGACTGTTAAATAATATATCACGACCGGAACGCGCAATCGGAAGATCGGGAAGAGATCGTGCAAGTCGCGGAGGAGCCGGGACGTTTGTTCGACGTGCCGGAGAATCGCGGTGATGATTTCATACTCGGATATATCGGGGGAATCGGGGTGGGAATCTGATAGGGAGGGGGAGTGGAGATGAGAGGAGGAAGAGGAGAGAAGTGCGACGGATGAGGAGGTTAGATGGGTGCGGATTTTGAGGAGTTCGATTGCGACGGCGTCGGCGCGGGCGGCTTCGCGCCAACAGCCGGATAGCTCCTCCATGCTTCTATTGCGGATGTTTGGGGCTGGAACGACATTAAGTTGGGGTGATGCGATATATGGAGGTATTGAAATTTGAGAGTGGAGATGCGTACTCAATCAATGAGTTATGGTGTGTAGTATGTTCAGAAATTCATTATATGTTGCCAACTGTTAATTGGGACTTGAATGAGTTTCAACTCATAATAAGTGAGAAAGATGTATCATATCAATTGAAGAAGCAAAACTGAAGCTTCGAAGAAGAAAAAGCAGAGGAAGGATCTCGAGTAACATCGAACCAATTCATACACACATACACACATACATATGTACCTATCAACCCTTCCACAGACATCACATAAAAAGCAGCTGTCCCCTCCCCTCAAAAATCCCGAAGACATCAACTCCAAAAAAATCCACCACCCGCGGCTCTGCGGATGAATAGATAAATTACATATCTCGCAGGTGGACGAATCTACAACCTCAGCATTACCACGACTGACGTGTCAAAAATCATTGGAATCGTCAAATATCGTATCATTCATTTCCCCTCTTCTAATCTTTCTCCACGCCGATTCTGTGCAGGATCCATTGGCAATTCGCCATTCATATACCATACTTACTGCAGAAACGTACTGTTACCAAGGAAAAATTATCTTTCCTTGCATGATCAATTCTAGCCAGTGATGTATACTTACAATTCTCCATTTCTTCGGACGGTTGTATGTGTATGCGTATATGTATGTATGTATAATACTGATAAAGATAAAGATTCCAACCACAACCATGCATGCATGAACTCCGTACGCACGAACCAGATTTCTCCAAGCTCTGCGCGATTGAATTGCATCAATCGAATCACCATTCATTGAACTCCTTAACGGGATACAATCGTGGAAGAATCCCTATCAATGAATTGATTGTAGATCGCCACTTGTGCAATTGTAATGCCACGATATGAAGTGGCACAAAGCCTCCAAAATGTTTTTCTTGCAAAGTGGTAGGATTATCACAACGAGCGAATCGTACAAGGCTGACTTTATGGCTACGGCTGATGACACGGAATTGTGTTGAAATGGTCAAGCCGAGGCCGAGGCCACAACCGATACTCATCGGCTTCATACATTGTTTTGATATATTAACGTTCCTTGATAATTCCAATCAATCAATCAATCAATCAATCATAAGAGAAGTAAACTTGCCTTTTTATTTTCCAAATAAGAAAAATCTCTGTGCTGGCTCCTCTAAAAATCATTCAAGTCTCCCATCCATCCATCCTATCTATCCACCAACAGACAGAAGAAAGAAAACAATGTACCCAGGTACCCGAATCGAATCGCATCCGCATCCGCAAACATTACAGTAGATATCAATCATGCAGTGATCCACGCAGCATTTAACCCACTTCAACAACATCTCTCGGGAAAACTTCCTCGATGATTTATTTCGATTCTTTATATCTAGTGATGAAACCATCGAGATCTTCTCAGAAACATAGGATAAAAAAACTTAGAAACCCAACGACATGAGAATCCTTTCTAGACCAAACTCGACTCATGGCATCAAATCAATTGCAACTTACTAAAGCAACAATTGTATCCGTCTTGAACATTACAGATAGATGCATACCTAGGTACATACATACATACATACCATCCATCCCAATCTGTCCACTAGCATACGCGTACAAGATAACATAATAAGAAACTCTCTTCCGTACTCCATACCGGCCGAATAATGATCGAGGAAGGATAGCTAGAAATATTTAGTCCAATCCGATCCAATCCAATCCAATCCAATCCAATGTAATGTCAGGCACTCGCGTCGCGACGATACATCATCATATCATATCATCACATCACATCATCCTATCATCAATCACATAGCTCCCCTCCAAATTCCCATAATCAACCCACCACAAGACAATACAACACCAAAGGAAAAAGAAAGAGAAAAGGAAAAGGAAAAAGAAAAAGAAAAAGCAAACCTCCAGAAACCCAGACCATAAATACAACATCCCATTCCATCGCAGCACTAGCATACCATATCATCTCCCGTTTCCGTATATATATATATATATATATATCATCGAGCACTCCCTCAGATGTCACCAAAAGATTCTTTCTCTGTACTTCATTCTTCTTCCTCTCTTATTTTTTCTCTCCCACCTCTCTTCACTCCTTCCTCTTCATCTCCTCTTGTCCCCCCCATCTCTTACATCACCCTTCCCTCTCCCCCCATCTCCATCTCCTCTCTGCTCCCATCCCATCCCATCAATCTCAAAATCACCACCCTATCCTCACATCCTCACATCCTCACATCCTCACATCCTCACATCCTCACATCCTCACATCCTCACATCCTCACATCCTCACATCCTCACATCCTCACATCCTCACATCCTCACATCCTCACAACCCACCCCCAAATATCAACCCCCAACTCCCCTAACCTCTCAATCTCCTCAAACACATATACTTCCGCATACACATACATACATACATACATACATACATACATATACTCACCTAAATGTAGATATATATATATATATATATATATCCCCAACTTTCCAGAAGCCTCCCAGCAAAAGCCTCCCAGCAAATCCTCCAAAGAATGATCTCCATCTCCATCTCCATCTCCGTCCACTACAAACCTCACACATCCAATTCATTTCCATCCCCATCTTCAAAGGAAAAAAACCCCCCTCAAGAAAATACAAAAATACACAAAGAGAAATGAAACCTCGATATCCACTCCACACCTCAGATTCAGCTCACTCCTCACAAGGCTGTAAGGCAAAAATGTCTCAGATCCTCCAAGTCTCGAATCCCTCCCTTTCCGTTTCGCCCGTTTCATTTCGTTTCGTTTTGCAAGTGGCGAGTACAAATAAGTACCTATCGAGTATGGGTCTACTCACATTCCACCTGACATTTTAAAAGAGCATTGTTTGCATGACAATATATTATTCGCCTCTCAATTATTACATCACATAACATCACTTCACACTTAAAATCACAACTTTATAAAATCAATCGAGAAGATTTAGAATACAAACGATATCATTGTTACACGCAATTGGTTGTAGAAATTTACCATGATCTTATCTCTTGTCCCAGACCTATCTAGACAGACCTAGACTTTGACCTAGACCAGACCAGACCAGACCAGACCATAAAAAAAATCCATCGATAGCAAAAAACGATACCGCAAGATCATCATCCGATATGAAAAGGAAAACGGCAACATGTGCACAAGTTGATCATCCCATTCCCCTGTCAAAACATAACACCCCAGCCCAAATGAAAAGCAGAAAAGATAACCCCGGAGAACCTCCCAACTTGTATGATTATGTCATCTTTGATATTGATGGTCGGATAGGTAGCTATCAAGACTATCATTTGTCGAGATGAAGTGATTGAAAGTTTGAGTGATTAAAGAAATCTCTAAGAAGACTCTTCCTCCTCAGCATCGGCCTGTAAAATGTATTGTTTAGTTCAATGATTCTTTTCAATAGAGTTTTCTGCTGTGATAGCATGATTGATACGCACTGTAAGACTTACGTTATAATTGGCCTTCTCCTCTTCGTAACGTTTCTTATCTTTGGCAGCAGACTCCTCATAAGGACCTCTTTGCTTATCGTTCAAAGCCTTCCAGCGTTCACCGAGAACCTTTCCGACTTGACCTGTAAGTTTGTTAGATTACTGATGCAAGTGTGAGTATGGCATGGGCATGAGATCGTACCGAAAGAGATTCCGGGGTTCTCCTCACGAACGTTGTCACGTTGTTCGTTGGCAAAGAACATGTATGCAGAAAGTCCACGCTTTGGTGCGTTAGGATCTATGGAAGAATGAGTCAGTACATGAGTTTCCGTCAGAGGCAGTTCACGAGGACGAGTCAACATACCCTTCTTCTTCTTCTCGGTCTTCTTGGCAGCACGCTTGGGAGCCTTTTCCTTTGGCATATTGAATTATGTGAAATGGGTCTAATTGAGAAGAATTAAAGTCAGTAAGATTGATTGAAATGTTTATGCGACCGTAATAAATTTGCGACGATGAGCATGAAAAGTGGTTGTGGTTGATACAAAGGTGGACCAAAAGGGACGGGCAAGTGGTTGATAATTTGGTGGTGATAGCGCGTTGTGAAGGTGTTGTCGTATTTTGGTATGGAGTTGTGAATCATGTGTGAGGTGAATGCAGTCGCAAAGGTAATAACTTCCTCACGACGTGGAATTTGAACGTGATCAAAGATGCAAATGAAAGGGAAAACTTACATCTAAATGGATTTATAAAGTGACGACCGTTATTAACTGAAGTGGTTGATCTAAAACGCGAAGAAATTGAATCAGTGAAATTGTTCTTAGTATGAGTGGTAGTAGTAGTAGGTCGAAGTGATATCGCGACGCAGAGAGATGACGCGCCGATGAAGTTGAAAAGAGAAGCAATTGTATTTGAGTATTTTGAGAATGAAAAGAAGTAGCAATAGATCGAATACTCATTGAAATCTCGACTTTTTCATGTACATAAAAGCGCGTTCTCAATAGTCACAGAATATTGAGACTCAAGATCAAGGGAATTGATATGAAGATACTGTAGGAGCAGGAGAGAGTATTTGGGTATTTGCTTACCAGAGAAGTTGTTGTATGTGATTTTGCGTGTACAGAGTTCGTAGGTAGAGATTTGGTGAGGAAAAGAAGTAGGAGAGAGAATTTAGGTGGGTGATCCAATTTTTGCGGGCATTTCAAACTGTAGGGGAAAAAAAAGCAAGAGCCGTGGATGAGCTTACCATTAATTCGCTTGATCTTGAGTAAAGCGTGAGGAATTAATTTCATTGGTTAGATGTCTGTTTCCATGCATTCCTAGGATTTCTAGCATTTTTAGGATTTCTAGCATTCCTAGCATTCCTAGCATTCCTAGCATTTCCTTGGTTCTTTTCTCGCCCACCCTTTTCCAAGTTGAGTTACAATCTGTGATTATTACTACTGGTACTGGTACTACGATTATTACTATTGATACTGATATTGCTACGACTATTACGACTACGACGACTACGACGACTACTACTACGACTATTACTCCCACGACGACTATTACTCCCACGACGACTATTACTCCCACGTACAAACTATACACCTATGGAGATACATGCTAGGTATATGAAATGAGAGTGAGATTGAGTGAATAATGTACCTAGTATGTGTTGGTATGTGTGTATATAGCTATCTACCTAGTATGTATTGGTATGTATCTAGCGATCCAGATACAGTACCTAGGTCTGTGTGTGTAGATATCCTAGGTACATGAAAGAAAGGAGAGCTTCCCCTCAACGCCATTCCAATCATTACACATCATCGGGTAAGTACGATATGGGAACGTCTATTGGAAAATCAAGGCCAGTGTACACACATTCTGAGAAATACAATGAGGCTATAGTAGAATTGATGTGAATGACCTCAACTTTTATATCCATCCTGCCAGCTTTGTATCTATGATTACTATTACTTTGACCATAATCATTACGACCTGCCTGGTACCAAGATATACCTACCTACACACGTTACATTCTTGTCAAGACAGCTTCTTTATTTGTATGTGTATGATTTGTATGTGTATGATTTGTACGTGTATGATTTGTACGTGTATGATTTGTATGTGTATGATTTATATGTGTATGCGTATGTGTGTGTATGTGAGGAGAAAGACAGAGGGACACACATACACAGAGAGAAAGAGAGAAACATCATCATCACCATCATCGTCATTCTTCTTCTTCTTATCATCATCACCATCATCATCATTTCTACCATCACCCTCAAATCTCCTATTCCTATTCTACATCATTAACTTTCCTTCCCTTCTCTTCACTCACTCCCATTTCTTGTTTCTTTCTCCCTTACTCGAACTTACTTCCCCATTTTTCACGGTATGATGCTACAGGTAATAGCTACTAGCGAATAGCTCACAGCTATTCGCCCATTGAGCTCTTATCCTACGCTCCGTATATCCTAGGCAAAAAAAAAGGTACTACCAAGGTACGACTATCCCAGCCCATAGCCAAAAAGTAAAAAATGTAAGTGGAGTTTCGTCGCTCTCGCTCTTGCCGTCTGAAAATTGATGTGTGTGGCTCTGTTCTCCTCTCCTACCGATTTTCCGATGCTATGCTCTTTATGGTGTTGTAAAATCACGAGGATGGACAAGGAGGTAGTGGAAGGAAGCACGAACAGAGATCCTTTACCAATTCCGCTACAACAAAGACTTTCTGCTTTTCCATCAATTCCTTCATTCATTCATTCATTCATTCACTCTCTCTCACTTATTCATTCACTCAATACCAAACTTCCCCAATGGATGCTTTCAGTTACTTTGATATCACGTGTTGATAAGCTTTTCCCAGAATAGATTAATGCATCTCTTTAAGGGGATCTCTAGGATTCTAGCTTTAAAAATAGAAGGTTCGATAAGAGATCAACACAGCAGTTCCAAGGTTAGGTATTGACCTAGTAGTAGGTAGATGGTAGGTGGTAGGATTCATTTGTTCCTGATTTACTTGAATCAAATCGTTTGGATCGATCGCTCTACTAGATATTCTTTCCTACTCTATGAGCTTTTTTCGTCGTCTCATATCTTTCTTGTCCTCCGTACTGAACCTTACCTACCTAGTACATGGGAGACTTGAAGTGATGAAGTGATGGAGTGATGGAGTGATGGAAAATAAAAATCAGATGAAAATCCCCCCTCCCCTTCCCCATTTCAATTCCCAATATTCTGTCGTATTCCACTCTATTCCGTTGTACTGTTCCATTATTATTATTGTATTATATTATATTGACAACTGGCTTCACGGTTTGGTCTCCGCATATCTCGGCATAACACACACTTCCCTTGAAAAGTTGTATGCGGTGGTCGCATAACATAGAATAATAACAAGGAGATGGGGCAAATGGGAAATGGGAAATGGGAAGTGTAATGTCACAAGCAGAAAAAGCCCGTCCAACATTTTCCACCACCCATTCTTTGCGCAAGTATCTCTCATGTAGGGTGGCAGCTTACTTTTCATTAGTTTGCTACGCCTTTTTCGATTGTCTGAGTCTGAGCATGAACAATACTTGCTTTGCACTACTGTCTGGGTGCAATAGGTGCGACAACTTATTACGAAGCGGTAGAATGTGATCCCCCCACCACAAGAAACACATCTGGCAAGAGAGTTTGGTGGCTTATTGGAAAGTTGGCTTTTGGTTACGAGTTAGCTTTACGTGACTCTCCTTGACTCTCCTTGACTCTCCTTGACTTTGCTGCACTTGACTTTACTTGTCCATCTCATCAATTCCAATCATGTTCAATGATGTTGTAAAATTAAGGTTCATGGGCCTCCCCGACGATAGCAGTAACCCGGTGAAGACTAAAGTATCCGTTAACCAACCTACCCTTTTGATGTTGATAGCACCACAACGGGAGCGGGAACGGCCTTGCCCCTTTTACCCGGAGCCAACATGAATCACATTACAAAGACTTAATAAAGATGTGTGATCATAGTAGGCGGGATCATGACAAACAAGATGGTTGAATTGTAGTATCTAGGATCGCAAGTGATCTCCATCCCTACCAAGATACCTACGGAGAACTACGGTCACACAATTGATATCTTGAATCACGTCCACTGGTACGATGGATCACTGTGGACTGTGGACGGAAAATGCAGCCGCTCTTTCTTGATCCGGCCTTGCGAGTTCGGATCTCCAAAATGCCAAGACCAAACCATTACGTTGGGTCTTATCGATAAGAACCAAGCTCTCATCACGTGGAGTCGGCGAAAGATTTGTCCGGCTTTCTGAAAAAGATTCAACTCAAGCAGAGAAATATTGATCAAGCAGGAAGATATCCAAGAGCAATTGCTCAAAACACCAAGGAGCACTTGGATTTTCAGTCTCGCGGTTGGGAGAGAGATACACTCGCTCCACCATAATGTCGGACTCGAAAGTGCCCGACGCAGAGGTAATTTCCCTCCATGAAGATTTATATGGAGAGCTTAAACTCACAAGATCTTAGAAGCCAGCTTCTACTGCAAATGCAGAAGTTAAAGTCGATGCAAAAGCTGCTGCAAAACAAAAACCACCCAATCCTATGTGGAAGTACCTAGGATTCGGCGAGAACTTTAGACCTCGAGTTCCTTCCCGCAATTGGATGATATTCCTCTCCATTACTGGATCTTTCACAGCAGCCGTCATCTACGACAAGAGAGAAAAGAAGAGAGCGCAGAGAAAATGGTGTAAATTAGTGGAACACATTGCGAAGGAGCCTTTAGGGGATTCTCGTACTATGCCAAGGAAACTTACGGTTTTCCTCGAAGGACCTCCAACTGACGGATTACGGGTTGCGCAAGATCATTTCAAGGAATATGTCAAGCCTATATTGGTAGCTTCAGGCTTGGATTGGGAATTTATACAGGGAAGGAAAGAGGGTGATATTCGAGCAGAATTGGCGGAGAATATTCGCAATGCAAGATTACCATTTGAGGAAAGTAAAGAGGGACAGGATCCTATTTTATCGACAAGGAAGAATGCTGGGATTAAGGAGTTTGATGGGCCAAGAGGTGATATAGTACTTGGACGACATACGTGGAAAGAATATATCAGGGGTGTACATGAGGGCTGGTTAGGTCCATTAACCGAACCCCCTAAACCTGTGGAAGAGAGCCCAGAAGTAGCAGAAACCCCAGCTCCAACCTCGGAAGCCGAAACTCCAGTCGATTCCCTCCTGGGAAAAACGATCCACACAAGCACCAATAGCGATCCCTCTAAATCCGAAGATGCATCATCTACTACCACCCCCAGTCCCGAAGAAAAACCAGCGGAGGAAAAGAAAGAAAAACCATCACACCTACCCCCTTCATCTCAACCTCAGAATACGCATCCGCAACCCTCCCCTCATCTTGCCCCGCAGAACTAGACCCTTCGGCCGCAATCTCATTCCCTCATATCCTCGGGTTTCTCAATACCCCCACCCGTCTCCGTCGCTTCCTTAATCGTCGTCATCTTGCCGATCAGATCGGTCGTGACACTGCTGCTATCATCCTCGCTACCTATCGTCCCTATCACGATGCTAATTCCTCCTCTGAATCTCCAGAATCCGAATCTCCAGAATCCGAACAAGCCACACTCCTCAAAGAAGAAGAGAAAGAATGGCATAAATCCATTCGCACTCGTACCCCTACGGATCCAGAGAGAACATGGTTAGAACCCATTGTTCTGGATCAGAGAATCGCATCTCGCATGCGCAAAGCTGAATTGACGGCGGAAGAAGAAGAAAAGGCGAAGAAGATAGTAGTTAGTGAGGAAGAGGTAGAGGGATGGATTAAAGGTGGATTGAGAAGTTTAGGACGTTCTGGAATAGCTTGGTTTGCAGGTGACAAGGAAAAGAAACCATGGGAACAGGGAAATGAGGGAGAGGAAAATGAATGATGAGAATGATGAGGAAGGAAAGATAAAACTAAAAGGGGTGGATAGACCCTGCAGGATCATTACGAACGGGTGGGAAATACCTTGTGTACACTATACAATACTCTCCTCGTTATTCCATCAGCGACATATTGTTTGGTAGGCTAGGCTTGGAAAGTAAAGAGGGATAGAGAAGGTTCATTCCTCGAGTATGCTTTGTACAATATTGGACGGTGCTGTATTGTATTGTATGTACAGTATCATGCATCATGAATAATACCCAGCTCTGCAAATGAAAATCAAATGAAAATGAAAATCAAATGGAAATCAAAATCAAATGGAAATCAAAATCGAAAGTTCATTCCATGGTTCTTATATACATCCATCCATCCATCATACATGTGCAATTGATACGCTACCTAGTCACAAGATAGGATAGCTGGAGAATGAGAAATATGTTGCTTGGCATTTGGATTCATATCTTGGCTTCTCCTTCTTTTCTGTTGTGAAATTTTTTGTGGGATTGGATGGGATGGGATGGGATTTTGTGGGTGATTATGGTGATTATGGTGATTATGGTAAATTGGAATTCGAAGTTGAATTGGAGTAGTACTTGTTTCTGAGGGGGGTGAGTGAGCGCAGTTTTATTTTTGTTTTTGTTTTTGTTTTTGTTTTTCGGTGGTTAGGTTTGGGGGAGGGATTGAGATTTGTATGTATGTATTTGTATATATGTGAGTTGAGGGAATTTAGGTGAGATGATTAGTATGGTTGGATGGAGTGATGAGGTGATGAGGTTATAAATTGATGAATAGATACATAGATAAATCTAATCAAGAGTAGATGGGTGAGATGAGAGTAGAAAGAGAGGCAGGGCGAACTAAATCATTTCTTTTCAAACCCTCAAATTTTCCCTCGCGCTCGTCATGATTCTTCTCATCTTATCTCATCGATCACTTAGTTTAGTCCGCTTTGCTTACCACCTCTCCGCATCTTACACTTCTTTTCCCCGAACCCATTCACCATCCCCTTTCTTCTTCCTGTATACAAAAACTCCTTCTCATTCCCCTCCCTTCCCTTCTACTACCAATCATCCAAACGATCATCTCATACATCAAACACCCCCTCATCCACCTCATAAAAATCCTAAACTTCTCAACCCAGTGCTAGTCCCAGGTGCGTATATCTCGCTTAACATCTTCTCCTCTTCCCTTTCCCTTCCCTTCCCTTTCCGCTCTCCTCTTCTTCTCATTTTATTCTCATGGAATATGTATTCATGTATAAGTAGACACAATCACCAACCAAGAGCACCGAGATATATATCGCAGATTATCGAGAAATAGTGTTCTCGATCAGGAATTAGGGTGTAGAGTAGTTGTAGTCCGATCACAAAAGGGTTAGTTGTTGCGCGAGTTTTATTCTGCATGTATTGTATAGATTCAATACATCAGCAACGAAATCAATTTACTTCTTCTACATAACGATAGACGAAGAGGTTAAAATAACAAGTCTACATTCCCAGAGAGTAGGATTTAGATTGAAGAAAAGATTAATAGGGTTATAAAGTGATCGCTCGCCCGCAATCCAAAATGCAAATTCAAAAAGCACCAAGCACACTCTCGCTTTGCACGTTTCTTATGAATATAAATGTAATCAACGTTGACTCCAACACATACGACCATAGACTGAAGAGAATTGGGCATCCCGTCCGCTCTGCCATACACAAGCTTCAGATCGGTGGATTAGTAGTTGGGTGGGTGACCACCAGCGAATCCCCACTGTTGTATGTTTTTTGTTTTTTTTTTTAATTTTTACCATGCCTCTCCTGCCTCCTTTTTGCTAGGTGTTTAGATAACGCAATGTGTTGACGGATGATAATGCTTGATCGTTCTATTATTGTTATTGGGATCCGGGAGATGGGGATAGATATTATCTAAATCGAGTGTGATACTTTTCTTCTCCATTACATACATACATTTGAGGAAGATAGGAGTTATCAACGCGGAGATGTATCGACAGGAAATGAACCACAGCTATTCCCCAATTTCTTTGTACACACACATCATCAATTACCAAGGGCATCCATACACCGTCACAGCAATCCCTCACTTCCTCGCACAAAACTTCCACTCCCTCCATGTATTATCCTAAGAAAGAATTGCTATACTACTCTATTGATATACCTACCCACCCTCTCTACCACCGTTCCCACCCACCTTACAATGTATCCCTTCGTATACCCACACTCTCAAACGTCCAGAGTAGAAGATAGATAGAAATGCACAAAAATACATACTGTACGGACATGAATTTGCGTGCATATATGTATGTATATCTTACCCATTCAACCAGATACAGTCCAACTACCTATAGTGAAAAGATATCTATCCATGCATCCAGGAATAACAAAGTAACAAAAGGAACATCCTACCCTCTGTCCCTTACCCTTCCCTTCCTCTCCCCTTCCACTCCCTCTCCCCTCTCTATTCTCTCCACCTTCTCCATCCTTCCATCCTTTCCATACTATCATCTTTTTCTACAACTTTACTCCCAACCCTCTTCCAACCCAACCCCCATCCGACTCACCCCAACATAAAATCAATCAATCAATCAACTTTTCAACAAAACCACCAAGTAAATCAATCTTTCTACTCAAGAGTCAACCTGATTCCATTTGCCGCATTGACCGACTTGAACATGAGGTAAAGTAGATGAGATTGGAGATATGGATATCGGATTAGACCTCAGATTGCTCATATGATGAAAACATATAGTAGGTTAACAAGGAAGCAGAAAGGCCCCTTGACCCAGCTCAAAAAGTATGTAGTTAATGAATCCCATCAAATCCAAATTAAGTCATGCTCTTCTCCACCAAGTCTATCCATCAGGCACACATCACACATTACATACCTCATAAATCAAACACTTGTAAACATACTGATATTTAACATATAAATACAATTGATATTTTGTAATCTCATCTCATCTCGCATTTCATGCAACTAAGTCATCTCGCTCACAACTACCAACCCACCGATTCAATTTCCTTCTCCAAAACATTTCCGCCATTTCTCACCATGGTACAGGTTCTATCTCCTAAAGACAGAGTCTTAGAAGACTCTTCATATATGCATCTATCCATCAACACTCATACATCTATTCATACACCAAGAACGATGTATCCCATTCCTCATCCTCATGATACGTAGATTCGCCATTTTATTCCCTTCTAATTCCCCTTTCCAACGCCACTCACAAACAAAACTGTAATACAAGGAGAAGAATGAGAATATGCTCGCGGGAATCTCGTACAAGTAAATGGCATATGAGGTTGGTACACTGCAAGATCGAAGATAATCGACGATTGCAGGAAAGAGAAAACCGAGAAACCCAAATTGTGTTCAAATGCAGAGGCATTGTTGACTATCCAACCAGAGAGCGAGAATCAAACCCTTGTAAAGCACGAATACGGTGGTAATCCTCAATCACGGTGTTTAGTGAGCTGTATTTTGACTCAATTGTGGCTCTGAAGGCTTTACAGGTGGAGCAAGATTCTGTGATCGTGGACTCGGCGATAATGGAGCAACTGGGGGGAGAATGGCGGGGGTTGTTGAGCCATTTGATGCTGGACGCGGGGGAGAATGTTTTGTAGGAGAAATTCCACTGATCGAAGATGGAAGAGCCGACGCATGACCTGGGTCAAGTGGATCTTGATCTAATCCTGGGGATGATGCAGTTATCATAGTAAACCGTGAGGCTCCACTTGGCGTTGCGGCATGCCCATTGTGTTCAAACGATGAACTTGGTATCGGTCCATTCTTTTGAGAGGGTGTCAATACGGGAACTCCTGCAAGAGGGGATGAAAAGTTGAATGAACTACGACGATCGTTGTGCTCTTTGTGGAACCCATTGAGGGGTTGAACTGGCACATCTCCATTATTTTTGAGACTTGGTAAATCCGCATGCTGTTGGATTGGTGAAGATATTGGCGAGCTCTGAGGTTTCGAAGGGACTGGTTGTACCGAGCCGCGCCATTGGTAGTCAAATTCTTTGGGGGTGGGAGAGAAGTTGGACTGTGAGGAGCGGGAGAGGAAAAAGGATTATTGTTGCCCAAACCATTGTATCGTGATAGAGATGGACTTTCCCCGACGGGGATTTCAATCGACGGTCTAATATCGGATTTGCCGATGGGAGAGCCTGCGCGCTCATTCCTGTTGGTGAACTTTGGTGGTAGAATAGGTGGCGGTTTATTCTGTGACCGAGGTGAAGAACCCTTTGCTGATTGTGCTGATTTATGTGCTCCATTTGTAGTAGAAAATAGATGTAGTTGAGGTGCTGCCTTTTGTGGTGAAGCTGGAGTTGATGATAGCCTACCGCTTGGCATCGCTCCATCATCCAAACTTGGAACGCCATTTTGTTTTGGTGGCACTAAGGAGGAAGAAGATCCAGGTCGACCAAGCTTAATCTTCTTTGGTGGGTGAGTTTTGGCCTTCTCTGCTTCCTCAGCACGACGTTTACAAGTCGTGCATATGAACTCAAAGTCCTCGCTATCAGCCTCAGCTTCACTGACTCCAACGCACTTACTGTGCTGCCAAATATTGCATGTTTCGCATGCAATACTATGGGTCCCATCGTCAATCTGCCCATAAGCGCCACAGATACAGTCAAAGATCCAGTCATCTTCCTCGTTAAGTTGTTCGAGCGCCTGCTTCTTCTTTTCAATTTCGGCCTTTAGATGACGTTCCGAGAGACGGCCTTCGCCGGATCCAACCTTCCTACTATCCTCAGAAAGATTGGCCAATTCGTCTTCATGGAGGATGCGGCGTGCTTCTCTCTCCTTTACTCGCTGTTCCCTAGTCATCATTCGTGATTCTCTTTCTTTCTCTAGCTTAAGCCATTTTTGTTGTTCTTTCTTTGCCATTGCTAAATCTTGTTGCTTCTTGCGTTCCGCCTCTCTGGTTTCTTCTTCCTGCTTCTGTTGCTCCATCTTACCAGCGATTCTACTAGATCTCTTGGCTGTAGCCAATTTTTCGATGTTGATCAACTCGCGCTGCTTCTGTGCTTCTTTGCGCTTTCGAGCTTCTTCTTGCTTTTCCAATAGTGGTAATACATCATCGACGATGCGTTTTCGTAATATCTTCTCATTTGGATCCCGAGTTTTCTCCATTGACGCTGCGAATGCGGTAAACTCTTCAAATGAAACAGCAATGCATTCCCATTTTGCGCCTCCAAACCCATCGTCCACCTTTTCTTCTACCGGTGCTTCTACCGATGCTTCGGCTTCACTGTCGATTGTGTCTGTTGTCTTCCTCCGCTTGCTTGCCCTTGCAGCTGCTTTGCCTTTCTTAGAATTCTTCTTGTAACTTGCAGCTGGAGGAGGAGGTGGTGGAGCTTCAGTACGACGATATAATCGATTGTCATCTAGCACAAAGTATTCGCGATCATCCGAGTCCCATCCACAAGGTTCGATGCGCTGTTTCCAAGAAGTTAGTAATGTTGGATTTTGTCATAAATCGATACTTGCTTACCCAAGAGGTCTGTTCGATGTCCTTGGATTCTTCCATCCTCTCACGAATGCGGTCTGGACTGATCATGACCCATTGAGTAAGTTGCTGTAAAACTCGAATCTACAATAACTATTAACAAAGCTCGATGGGGTATAGCTCGACAGGTGCTTACCTTAGTAAAAGCATCGAATTCTGTGAACTTGGCGGGTTCCTCTTCGGTACCAAATGGATTGCGCTCGGGTGCTTTGGCAACATATTGCCTTCTTGTATATTCATCGAAAATCTCAGGACTGTTGGATTTAGTAAGCCAAGGCTACGGTATATGATAAAGGGATCCTAGGAGTTGACTTACGTGAGTCCTCGATGAGCAGAAACAAACTTCAATAGAGCAAGACCAATCTCTGGAAGAACAGTCGAGTGTGTTTTGGAACATTCCATCTCCAGTTCCTATCATGTTGAGACAGGTAGTTAGTATCGAAGTAGCATTTGGATAAGGCTAGAGGGAAGGCTGATGTATTACCTCGATTCCAATATTCTCATCGATTTTGACCGTCCTGCCAAAAATGAAAATCCATTGCGCAAGATTTGCAAATTCCCACATATTTCGAAGTTGATCAATCATACTTGGTTCCTTTGGAAGCTCACTGGCTTCCATCTCCTGCCTTCCACGCTTCCTGGCGGAGACCATCTTGAAGTCAAATTCCAGAGATCTCGGCACAAGGTGTATCAGCCTTTGATGGTTGGTTGATGTCGCAAACGCAACAAATAAAGTTGATAAAAGGAAGACGAAAAGATAATGTTACAATAGAATAATTTGTAAAGGTGTCCACAAAGCAAATGTTTGTTGGGTTGTTTCTAGAATTGTAGAATTAGTTGGGCAAGGGATTATGTATTTTAATGTTGTAGGATGCACAGAATTGATGGACGCGGTTGGATTTGACTTGACGCGAACTTGCTTAATTCATCTCCATTTTAATTTATTTTTGGGGTACCTGATATCTTTGAGTTCGGCAGCTGGATTGAAAGCCTTAGGCATCAATAGCCGCAGATTTACTGAAGAATGCTGAATGACATTTATACGAGAATTTACCGAGGAATTCATCTAATACTCATGATATATAACAATGAAGATTGTGGAATGATATTTGATAGATAACGAATCGTACAATGGTAGAACAATCTATCTGGAACGAATACCAATAGAATCTTAACTACATCTCCTAAAACAACCCCGAGTCGATACGAAGGAGAAGATATTCCTCTCCGGTTAGCCCCCGGGTTATACATCTACATACCTAGTAATCAAATTAGGTAGGTAGTCTGAGCATATTCGTATTGATTCAACCTTGATTCCATTCTTTCTATCATCTACAAGCAGCGGATATTATCACCTAAGTCGATATCCTTCCATTGCTTCATCATCCTCCTCTCATGATGTTGCCCACAGATCTATGATAGGTAGAATAGAGAAGAGCTGACGCAGTACCTAAAGTAGGTAGGCAAACTTTTATCTACCAATCCATCGATAAATTCATTTTCCTCCGTATTCCTTTCTTTTTAATTCTCCTCAATCCTTCCTACCATGAACCAATGCCAAAGATGAAAGAGAGGTTGGATCATGAAAGACTGTAAAAGTCCATCAACTTTGAAGAGCCATGCTATGCTATGCCTTCAATCCATGACACCATGTCGTTTGAGAAACCTCAAAGTACTATATAGAAAAGCTTTTATACCCTGCAAATCTCGCAATGCTACCGTTCTCCACACCAATCAGGAGGTGGCTCCCCTCACAACTTAGCAAACTCCTCCTTAATGATCTCCACAACTTTAGCATCGGTTCCCTCAAGTTCCGATTCCACAACCTTCTTGAAGCGAATCTTCTGTTCTTTTACACTTTCATTCTCCTTGTCGATAGCCGATGCAGCCATGAGACATTTCAGCGCGAGGAGGTGTTTCTCTATTTGGTGTGTTAGCAATCGCACCTAACATGTGACACGCTAAATCAAAATTAAAGAGGGTACTTACGTCTACGAACGAACACCTCGAACCCCAGAATTTGCGCCTCAATGTTCTTGGGACTGAACTGCAACAACGGAGTCAAGAATTTCATGGCATCAACCAGCGGTTCCTTGGTCTCCGCCAGTTTCTCTCCATTAGGATCATCATCTTTCTTCTTTACCTCCCCATCCTGATCCTTCACTGGCTTATTGGGTTCATTTTTCTTTGCCAAAGCTTCTTTTTCCAGACGCTCTGCTTCCTTTCTCGCCTTCTTTGCTGCCTTTTTACGTTCCAGAGCATCTGCCTCGGATTCTTCTGCAGATCCGTTGACTCCATTCGATGTTGGCTTGTCATGCATCGAAAGATAAACTTTGACTGCCGAAAGAGCTGCTCGGCTATAAAAGGGGTGTTCTCTGATTTTATCTTCCCACTTCATCATATCTACATAGGCTCTAATCTGACCCTTACGTAAGAAGAAAGAATGGAAATCGAACTGATCTTCATACCAGACGTCAAAAATGTTGTAAACTGCCGTAAATCTCTTAAGAGCCAAGCCAATTTTATTTTGGCGAGCATAAGACTCTCCATCCTCTGTCAAAAACCAGACACATTGCATGTCATGAAGATCTGCTAGCGGTCCACCTACAGTCTCAGCTCTTGTGAACATACCCATAGTCTTCAAGGCGTTTTCGTTTTCATCGTTTCTAAGTTGATATTTGGCAGCCTTGGTGTTGATGTGACGATCCCTAGTGTCGAGACTGCGAGCTTCCTCCATGATCTCAGAGGCTTTTTGGGTGTTTCCTTGATGCTTAAATATACGCGCTTTTGTCATGTGGAAATCTACGCTCTTGGGTTCCAATTCAATAGCCTTCTCAATATACTCCAAAGCCTTGTCAAGGTCGCGGCTCAAATAATAGTTGTAGTGCTGTGCGAGGAAGTAATAAGCCGAAGAGTTGCCCTTGGATGTGTCACCGTTTCTCTTTGGTTCGGAACTCTCTTCACTTTTCCCACTCTCAATATATTGTTGAACGATAGACGGTAAGATTTCCTTCTTAGATGCATCGGCATACAGATGCTTCAGATTTGCGAATGTAGATGGAACTCCCTTGTCCAGCATACGGTGAATGTACTTATCGGCGGCCTCTTTAAATTCCTCGCCTTCTAAGAAATCCAACGGTAACCGGCGCGCAGCGTCACATCGTGGGTACTTCTCTGCATATTCATCGTAAACAGCTTTGCGAGCCTTCAGATCGGTCGGGTCGATCTCCATAGCTTGAATTAAGGAATCATAGTAGGTTTTGAATTCCTGGTTGCGGTCCACCAGCGCACGATATGCCTTTACAGCTTCCTCCTTTCGTCCAAGCTCGAACAAGTATTTTGCCTTCAGCTCCATCACAGCCAGCCGGTCGAGGTTATGTTTGCCATCCGATTCAAGGCATTCCAAAGCTCTCTTGATATCACCTTGTTCTGCGATTAACGTAATTTTGTACATAACAGCTTCCGAGTTCTCGAAATCGAGTTTGGAGGGTAGATTCTTCAAAGTTCCCTCATAGGTGGTTAAAGTTCTCTCCGCTTCTGCCAATTCGCCGTTGAGATGGTATGCCACAGCTAAAGCAGTCCAGCTTTGTCGGCTGGTAGATCTAGCAGTTAGCATAGCTTTGCGACTAACAAGATAGCCTGCATAGTCACGCATTTGCACTTGTAAGAGCGCCAAATCTCTTTGGATCTGCTGCGAGTCTGGTTCTAGTTTTAGAGCAAATTTGTATGCTTTGATAGCCTCTTCGAAGTTTTTTGCGGCGCGATAGAGCAGTCCGTAGACGTGCCAGCAGACGTGTGATTTGAAGTCGCATTGGAGAGCCACTTTCGCAAGCGCAAAAGCTTCATCGGATTTCCCTTGAGAGTTTAGAATCAAAGCTTTCATAGCCAAAGTATCTCCATGTTTGGGGTTCTTTTTCAGAATCTGGTCGGCAGCTTTCAAACCTGTAGATTGTAAGTTGGCGCCTGTGAAGAAGCTGACATATGTAGCGCACCTTTCTTGTACTGCTTATCTTCATAGTTTCGAACCACGGTCCTGAAGAGTGAGGACTCTTTCGAAGATAAAGGTTGTGGCATGGCTGCTCAATTGCGTTTGCCAGAAAAGCTATTCAACAGCGTGGGGGGTTTAAAGATCGTTCTGTGATTCTGACGTCAGGATTCACAATGCTTTGGTGTCCTTTTAAACAGTCTCGATGTCGTATCGAAGCCCTTGACAATAATTGAAAAGTCCTAGACTGTACGTTCCGTCTCACAGGTGGGAAATTTCCTGCTCTGTTGGGAAGTTGTGTTGTTTGGAGGGGTTGTGTATTAATAAGTTCTACTGAACTTTCGAGGTTGCAATGGTGGAAAGTTCCGGCTATTTTCCGGGCGAATTTCATATCCGCTTCCAAAATGTTGTGCTCTCACTAAAATGGTGTTAAGACATTAAGACAGATTACTAGTGCAATGTAATGCAAGTCTAATTAATTGCTTTCTCCATTTGGTGTTTGGGTTACCATTAGAAAGTGTCTAGATTTGAAGCATTTTGTATGATTTGTGATTTATGTTATTCCCAATAACTGGGCATCCCGTGTTTTGCCCTCGTGCAATGGTGTAAGATATGCATGCGTTATACTTTTAATTAGTTGGAGTTGATTCTTTCTATTGCTTCTCATACACTCATACAAGCTTCTCAGATATGTCCATCCGTAGTCATTTGGTCCTCTGTATATAATTTCCCGAACCCATCCAAAAACTCCCGCTTCTGTGCAATCTTGCACGTAAACATCCAAATGCACACTACCATCTCACTGAGGTCTTTCCCTACCCTTCCTCCACTGGTCCATAGCTTCTTCCCAGCTCTCCGAATCTCCGCCACATCTCTCCCTAACTAACCCCCAACTCCTTGCCCTCACAATATTTTCCACCCCTCTTTCTTGCCTCACAATGGCAGCCAACCTCTCCGTCCGCGCCTCTTTCGGGAAGAATCTCGCAGAATAAGGATCCAATCTCTCATCCACCACCCTCTCCCTATCCCTCGCATTCTCAACCTGTCTCTCCAGCAAATCTGGATCATCGGGATCCGGACTCGTAGCAACCGAAGCGCAATAATTCAGCACATCTGATCTTGTCTGCCACGAAGAAAATAAAACCGATCCCTTGAATTTCTGACATGCAGTGGAAGATATTTGTTTTGAGTGAGGGGATCGAGGATTACGGATCGAAGTAGATGAGGGGTCAAACCCTTCCCTCGAAGGTGTTACGAGCGCATTGAGATTTTGTGTTATACTATCGTCAATTGAGGCGCGAGATATACGAAGGAAATCTATAGAGTATTAGTCCTAGTTGTGCATAATATTAGAATAGACATTGAAATACCTCTCAGCGCAACTGTTGAGAAACAAAACTGGGGAGTTAATGTTTGTGGTGTTGGAGCAGGTTCCGCCATTGTCTCTCGGGGAGCTGTCTTTCTAACCTCAGCTCGCGAGGTCGTTGACCAAAACCAGTTCGCCAGTGTGAAAGGAATCAAACTAAACAGGTTAGCTTTATTGTACGTGTTTTATTTGCAAAATTAATTTTGCTTGCCCAAGTGCTGAGTGGCCAAATGAAGCTGAGGCGAGAGCTCGACTTTCTTTTTGATTACAATACATCATATCTTAGCGTCCGATAAAGCTTCCTTCTATGACGATGGTTGGAGGGGTCCATGTCTCGTTTCCTTCCAACATTTCTTATTGAAGTCTTTCACTTTCTTCATTATGATTTCAAATGTCGAATTCACATACAGATGTCCTTCTTGTAAGTTTGTTTGGTTCATAAAAATTTGTAACAGCGAAAGCAAGCAAGTGTTTGCGTGGGAAAATTACCCCTCCACATGGCTTGTAATTGGCTCCCGGTGAGCCAGGAGAAAGATAAACAAAATTCCAACAGCAATGATGAATAAAGCACCAAGGACTTTCAAGTTGTCCATTTTTGGGTTTCATTGGGGGACACTGTACTGTATTTCGTGCTTCATGCACAATCTCTGATTTGGAATGTTTTGATCACGTTTCTAACACAACTCGCAGGCGGGAGCGTTTGCAGCAGTAGCTGTCGACCTTCTAGTATATCCTTTGGATACTCTTAAGACCCGATTTCAAAGTCCGGATTACAAAAAGATCTACTTTGATGCATCGAAACAAGCCATCAATCGTGGCTTACTTTTTCGAGGTTTATATCAAGGAGTCGGACCTGTAATTTTGGTGACCATACCTTCATGTGTGAGCTCCTAAGTCTTTAGATCTACCTCAATATTAATGTTTCACAGCAGGAGCATTCTTCACCACGTATGAAGGAATTAAATCCGTTCTCACCAAAGCAAATACAAGCTTCGGTAGCAACAATGCGCCACTGATACCCCAACCTTTTGTGCACAGCGCAGCTTCGGCCGTTGCTGAACTGGTGTCATGCTTTATATTGACGCCTGCAGAGGTATTGAAACAAAATGCACAGATGATCCGTCGACCAGCTCACTCCTCAACATCTGGGGCTTCTGTTACTATGCAGGCATTGAAGAAATTCAAAAAACCTTCGCAATTGTTCACGGATACACGGCATTAGCTGCCCGGAATCTACCGTTCACCGCAATGCAATTTCCTATGTTTGAGCACATGAAAGAGTCGATTAAGAACTACCGGAGGCAAAATGGAACTATGACCGGTTCGCTACTCGAAACAGCAACAATAACAGCAATCAGTGCTGGAAGTGCCGGATCTATTGCAGCTGTAATTACAACACCCGTCGATGTAGTGAAGACCCGGATTATGCTTGCAGCATCAGGAGAAAACTCCGAGAGTGAGGCAAAGAAGAAGGTAGAGGAAGCCAAGAAGAGAGGCCAATCGATTGATAACCTTGGAGGGAAGAAAAAGGGTAGTCTCACTATTGCTCGGGAAGTGGTTGCGGAAGCTGGAATGAAAGGACTGTTTCGGGGTGCTCTTTAAGAGCCGGCTGGACGGCATTGGGAAGCGGCCTCTATTTAGGGTCTTATGAAAGTGGAAGAGTCTGGCTGGGAGATCGACGGGAGCCTAAAGTTTAAGACGGAGGTTCAACAATCTGGGGACAGTGGCCCCACTGCGTCTACAATGCCACAGGTATTTTCGACCGAGTTCCTTGTGTATATGTACGACAGAAGGATAATGGGACGAAAAGATTACCTTCAAAATTATGTTTGATTCCATATGGACAATCAGAGTTCTGCGGTCCATGACTCCCCGATGTCCCTTTCTCCATGTGCGTGCGCTTTCAATATTCGAATATCGCCAAGCTTATCCGATTTTCGACTTGATGGAAACAATCATACACGATATCAACACACAATTTTGCTTTCACTTTTGCGCGGATTTAAAAGAAGTTTATTGGTCCGATGGAATTTCCAGCTATCGACAGTATCAATTGTCATCAGATAGGCTCATAGGCCGAGCTATTGACAGTGACAACAGTGACAGTGAGTTTAAGGAGGTCTGTAAACGTAGACCAAGCAAACTATAGCATTGATGTGAATCTTATTGCAAAAAGGATGTCTTTTTAAACTCTACATAGGCGCATCGATCCGGTCGAGTCAAACGGAGAAGTGTCAAAGATGTTGAAACGTGCAAAAGAAGTATAATTTAGTCTGACCACACAAAACTTCGAATGAATCTTCATCTCATCACCGAGAAGGAAGGAATCAACCAAGATTCGACTGAAAATGGTGCTAGTGAGATGAAGATGAATTCAAACGAAACACCTTGCTCATTGAGAGTATCTATCACCAGTTATTGGAAGGTCAAACGTTCCAGCTCAAGCGTCCAAATTAGGCGTCCCGGTCTGAGTAATCTCTGGAACTCTAAATCTCCTCTAACCAAGTAGAATGGGCAGATAAAGTTTGATGCAAGGTACCGAAACTCTGATCAAGATACTGAAGAATTGGCAACGCGGACAAGTCTGCTTGCAATAGGTTGCAGCTACAATTCACCGTTTTGGGTGTCATGGCGTCAGAACTTTCAAATTGGTATAATATACTTGAGGCTCCAAAAATAAAGTTCATTTACAATGCCATGAAGTCTTTGATGCCCGCATGTAATGTTGGTATATCTTTGTTCCCTATAGGGCTATTTTTGATTCCCCTGATTTTACAATCGAAACAAAGAAAGGCGTGATTGTCTTCAACACCCGAAAATGGCGCAATAGGGACTGTGTTTCGTACCATCCTGAGTCATTTAACGGTCGACACCCCCGCAAAAAATATTAAATGTAGAATATTATTGATCCAGAACCATGTCGTGGTATCTTTTTGGGCAATTGCGTCCTAGACGCTCCTTCCTCGACTCATCTTTCCCTCCCAATTCTTATATCTTTGACTGTCCGGTAGGTTCGTTCCAGTATAGTCTGGAAGATATCGATTCATTTCTTCAATCATCAAAACATCTTTTTCGATCTCACCTCTTCTTCCTATACAATTCCCTAAAATTGATCAGACCTAATATTCCGATATTTCCATACATCATGGCCGTTGTTACATCTCCTACTCTACCTTTCAACAATCTTGAACGCCGCGATATTTCCAATGCACTCGAATCTTCAACTGAACTGAAATATCCAGTTTCAAGCAGCAAGAATGATAGCTTGAATGAGGATAGATACTTGGTGGTCAGTCCATACGACGAAAAACCTCATCTACTAGATCTCGATACCTTGGATACACCAAATCAATTTCTTGCTAGAGCCCTTGTTGGATTGAAATGTTTGAGAGAAGATTATGCAACTGCGCCATATATTGAGACTTTCAATGTATGTTCTCCAATATCCTGACTCAAGTCTTGAAATTTCAGGTTCACTAACCAAACTTACTCTAGTGGCAAGAAGTCATAGATTCTCTTCGAGAGCTGACAAAAGCCTCCAATTACACATGGAAAGAGGGATTTTTCTACATTGTTGTTTTCAGATCTCAAGTCCCACCGGAAACTGTCGCTCATTACTCTGATCTTGGTGCTCTTGACAAAGCTGCCCACGCCGAGGCGACCGAAAGTGGAGGATTTCTCAAGTAGGATAACAAATCCCATGCATGCGGCAGATAAACTGACAGCCTGTAGGTACTGGTTCGGAGTACCTGACAAGAACGGACGGAATCTTGCAACTTGTGTTTGGCGTAGCTCTCGAGATGCGAAAATTGGTAGCGTGGGTCCACACCACCGTGTCGCAGCCAACGCAGCCAGACATATGTATACAGAGTGGAAAAGTAAGCTCAATCCTATTACTGGTGCTCATGTTGCCAGATGCTGATTGAGCCTTGTAGTCGAACGATTAAGGCTCCTTGTGAAGGACGATATTAAAGGATGGGAGATTGAACAATGGGTCGACTAAAAATGATATATCCTATCTGAAGTATTCCGACACCTAGTTGCCCTCCAGGTTGATTGGATGAACATCGGACTTGAATCGGACGGCGTAGAAGGAGTTACCTATGATTTTATAGACTACCTAGAAGTTTGCTTGTTTTTATGATACCACAATAGAATAGACATAATTAAGAGACCAAAATCGTTCAAGATTACCCGAAACTCTCATACTTTCAGCATTCCGTATTATAATTGCAATCTGTACTAAGTGCAGGTATTCGGATGCCTCGAGACTGTATTTGTTATGTTGGACTGACTAGAAGTTGAACATATCTTTGATGAACAATAACAATATTGCGTTGTGTTGAAAGAACAAGATTCGCGCGGGGTTAAAGATTCCCGTCATCGCTAGTGTAAAAAAAACGCCAAGGCTTCGCACACAAATGAATAGAATCCATCCTCAAAAAATAACCCACCTTTTTGCGACAACGACTACTGGACGCGGAACTCTTCGAATTTGCGCCAGATCCTATCGAAATATTGCCAGTAATTATTCGTAATCGAACGATCACAAGTTTGAATCACATTTCATCATGGCGGATATTGCTAGCAAAGAGGTGCCTTTGCACTCAGTACAAGTTGAGGCATTGGTATGGATTATATCACAGGCAAGACATCGAAAATTGTGGCTAATAGGATATGTAGGTTGTTATGAAGATTGTAAAGGCTTGTGCCGCAACCTACCCAACCACAGCTACTGGATCGATCGTTGGTATGGACTCGAACGGAACTCTTCAAATCACAAACTCCTTCCCATTCCCCACGACGGATGTTGCTGCCTCGGATTCCCACCCAAATGACCACATGGCCGCCTCGAACATCGCTGCCGCAGCTCCAAGATCGAAAGCCAATGTCATTTACCAGAGTGAGATGATCAAAATGTTGAAGGAAGTTAATGTCGATGCAAACAACGTCGGATGGTACACAAGTGCAAACATGGGAAATTTCATCAACACTAGCCTGATCGAAAACCAATTCTTCTACCAAAAGGAACCAAATGAGAGAACTGTCGCGCTCGTCCACGATGTCAGCAGAAGTTCCCAAGGTGCTTTGAGTCTACGTGCTTTCAGACTTTCCCCAACCTTCATGGCTGCGTACAAGGAGGGTAAATTCACCACTGAGAAGTAGGTTCACAAGATATGCCATTACAACGCCAATACTGACAAGACGATAGCATGCAAAAGTCGAAGCTCACATACAAAGATATCTTGGTCGAATTACCTATCATCGTTCACAACTCTCATCTTTTGACCTCTTTCTTGCACCAAATGCCAGTCGAATTACCAAAGAAGGATCTTGAATTCCCCGCAAGTTTCGCAGACCTCACCCGAAACACACCACCAACTCCTCTTTATCCTAATATGGAATCCTTGGACTTATCCATTGATCCTTACTTGGAGCGAACCTGTGATATGCTCTTGGATAGCATCGAGACTCATTACACTGAGCTTAACAACTTCCAATACTTCCAAAGGCAATTGACTCGTGAACAAGCCAAGGTCACAGCATGGAAGGCAAAGCGTACAGCGGAGAATGCTACTAGAGCTACACAGAAACTCGCACCTCTACCTGAGGATGAGTGGGAAAGACTCTTCAAGCTCCCAACAGAACCAAGCAGATTGGAGGGTATGTTGAACGCACGACAAGTTGAGCAATATTCAAGACAGGTGGACGGATTCACTGCTAGCATCACCGGAAAGATGTTTGCAGTAAAGAGCAACCTCTTACCAGAACAAAACTAAGAAGAAACGTATGTAATGCAGCTGGTAGTAGGGACATTAAGGTTGCTAGCTAGGGCACTTATGAGGGATTTCTTGCATGGGCATGGCGTTCAGAGGGATATGTCAATATGTGGGATCATATTCATGATCAAAAAAGGAACGATAGACAACACCTTGAGAACTCTTTTTTTCTTATGGATGTATAGATATCTCGTATATTCCTCCAAAAATGCACGGACTTTTGATATTGTCCACCCACCAACGTGCAACCCAACCCCACTTACAGGCTTTTACTATTTGCTATCAGTGATAACCCACATGTCTAATTTAAATTCCATGTTGAAGTTGACCCTGAATTTTGTACTTAGTTATCACTTCACTTGACCTTGCTCACAAGCCTCACCTCACTCAACGGTCATATGGTATGTGAGTAGTAGCCACTCATGGGGATGGTAATCCAAGGGCTCTTCATCTGTTCGTCGACTACCCACGGAGTAGGTGTATGTTACATAGAGTGTTGGCCGACTACCGAAGCGACGGTGGTCGGCTAGATCCTCTAATCACCTAGCCAGAAGATCTAGCCAGCAAAGTATAAGGGTCGTTCACTTATTGAAGAGAATCTACTCTTTTTTTCATCATTATTGTATTCAATACTATAAGTTATTGTATGTTACATACGAGTGCAGTACAGCTACATTTGAACAACTCATGTAAATCCAATAGTATTTCTACAACAATGCAAGTCTGAACCACCGAACCGTGATATCTAATGTCTATCTCTTTGTCAAACGTTTCCTATTGTTGGGTTTCGGTACTCAGGGATTATGTTTCTAACCTTATTTGGCTTAGCGCTGAATTTTCCTTCTTCTCACCCCTCCATCACTAGTTGAAGCGTCGGCCCCCGAAGTTTTTCTGTTTATCCTCCCATTTCATCTCTTCTTCTCTACCTCGCCTCTTCTTTTCATCTCCACCCTTAAAAACAAATGTAAGTATTAAAAGCCATCTCTGTCCCAATCTTCGCACTCATTCTTCTATACTCTGGAAACTTTGAATTGACTCTTATCTTTCAGTATCTATCTCCCTCAATATCATCTTTCCCTCACCAAAAATGTCTGCCCCAGCATCCAAGTTCAAGGTAAACAAAGCTCCCATGATGAATTGCCGATTCCCTTATACTAATTTGTATACTTATAGGTCGCTGACCTCAGTCTTGCTGCCTTCGGTCGCAAGGAAATCGAGCTCGCTGAGAATGAGATGCCAGGTTTGATGGCTACCCGTGAGAAGTATGCTGCCGATCAACCTTTGAAGGGTGCCCGTATTGCTGGATGTGTATGTATTCTCTTGCTACTCCATTAATCTGAATCAAAGACTAACGAAACTGTTATAGTTACACATGACCATCCAAACTGCTGTCTTGATTGAGACCCTCACATTCCTCGGAGCCGAGGTTACCTGGTCATCATGCAACATTTTCTCCACCCAAGACCACGCCGCTGCCGCTATTGCTGCCGCCGGTGTCCCAGTCTTTGCCTGGAAGGGTGAGACCGAGGAGGAATACAACTGGTGTTTGGAACAACAACTCGTTTCCTTCAAGGATGGCAAGAGCTTGAACTTGATCCTCGATGACGGTGGAGATCTTACTCAACTCGTACACAACAAATACCCAGAGATGTTGAAGGACTGCTACGGTGTTTCTGAGGAGACCACCACTGGTGTTCACCACTTGTACAAGATGTTGAAGAACAAGGGTCTCCTTGTCCCAGCTATCAACGTTAACGACTCCGTCACCAAGTCAAAGTTCGACAACTTGTACGGATGCCGTGAATCTTTGGTCGATGGTATCAAGCGTGCCACCGATGTCATGATTGCTGGTAAGGTTGCCGTTGTCGCCGGTTTCGGTGATGTCGGAAAGGGTTGTGCTATGGCTCTCCACGGAATGGGTGCTCGTGTCATTGTCACTGAGATTGATCCTATCAACGCTCTCCAAGCTGCCGTTTCCGGATACCAAGTCATGCCAATGGAGAAGGCTGCTTCCCAAGGTCAAATCTTCGTTACCACCACTGGATGCAGAGACATCTTGACTGGTGAGCACTTCGAGGCCATGCCAAACGATGCTATCGTCTGCAACATTGGTCACTTCGATATTGAGATTGACGTTGCCTGGTTGAAGGCAAACGCTGCCAGCGTTCAAAACATCAAGCCCCAAGTCGACAGATACCTCATGAAGAACGGTCGTCACATCATCCTCCTTGCTGAGGGTCGTCTCGTTAACTTGGGATGTGCTACCGGTCACTCTTCCTTCGTCATGTCCTGCTCCTTCACCAACCAAGTCCTTGCTCAAATCATGTTGTTCAAGTGCGAGGATGAGGCTTTCGGTCAAAAGTATGTCGAGTTCGGCAAGACCCAAAAGCTCGAGGTTGGTGTCTACGTTCTCCCAAAGATCTTGGACGAGACCGTTGCCAAGCTCCACTTGGCACACGTCAACGCCGAGTTGTCCAAATTAACCCCAGTTCAAGCTGAGTACCTTGGACTTGAGGTTGAGGGACCATTCAAGGCTGAGATCTACAGATACTAGATTATGTTTATATGGGTTTTCTTTTTTTGTTTACAGGCGAGCTGTGGTTAAATCTTTCAACATGAGTAATGATTGCAATGATACCGGGGAAAAGCATTTTGACCTTCAACGGCATATAAAGGGGATATACAAGGGAAAAGTTTCAACATAAAGGGTTTATGGATGAATTTTATAAAGCGGGCGTTACTTGGCTCTTCAACCATGGTCAAGTAGTAGAGGTCGGCCTTTTGCCTTGACATTAGAGCATATATTTGTGCTTGGGTAGAATATACATTGTATGTTCACAGAGAATATTTCTCGTTCATGCTTCTGATTGTGATTGTGATTGTACAAGTGATTTTGGTTCCCTCTGGATACTAAGTAATCTTTACCCTTCTCTTTGAAACCCCTCAACTGATTGAAGCTGTACATGAACATAGAGTTTCAGATCTCCTATTCGGTTACTACTTTGACAGAAGGAAAAGCACAGCGTGTATAATGAGATTGGCCATATGGGACAAGCAGAATGGAAACATGGCGGTGCAATATTGCCAGCTGAGTTGCTGGGTGGATTATTGTCAATATTATCCAGTGTCTATATAAATCATTCAAAACATACCATTGTATTTGCTCATGTATCTATAGTATTCATCACGACACAGGAAGATTGTCATGATGGGATGGGTTACCTGGAAGTCAGAAGTTAGAAGTAGTTGCATCTAGCATCTAGTACTTAGATTGGCAGATGCTAGGTAATTCTATGTTTGAGCTACTACCAAGTTAATTGTAATATAAAAGTTTACTATTTTAAA